CTTTTATGTTGTTGCCGCCTTTGTTGTTGTTGTCGTAGGTTTTGTATGTCACTGAGGCTTGTGTGTGCGTGCGTGTGTGCAACATTAAAGGATTTATCAGTTTACGCAATAAAACTTCGCCATATATACACATGTCTTTTCTTCCTTAGTCCTCGTCTTTTTTTTATCTGCCAGATTTGTGTTCTACAAAGCATTTTGTTCTACGCAACAAAGATTGATTAAATTGTTGCTGTACAGAAAATTTAAGGAATATGCAACAATTTTTGCTTCATATTTGTTTAGCAATACTTCACGAAATATTAAATAAACTAATCGCAATTTAATTAAATAATTAAGCTTTCCGAAAAATCAGTTTACTTGCAGCTCATGAGAATGAGAATGAAAAAAGGCAAGAGGTCCATTATTAATGTGCGAATATTTTTGTATATTTTAAATCAGCTGTAAGTTTTTTCTTTTCAGAATCTAATTGTGTCATTTTATTTATTTTTCAAGGATCCAAAACAACCTTCAATTACACATTTAAAAAAGCAAGTGGTTCATTATTAATGTGCTTCATTTTTGTATATTTTAAATCAACTGTAAGTTTTTTCTTCTCAGAATATAATTATGTCATTTTTAATTCTTTTCCAAGTATCCATAAAAACCTTCTGTTGCAAAATTTAAACAGGATACATGTAAAACAAACTTTTGTATAGTAAAAAGCTCCTTTGTATTTTGGTAGCAATTTCACGAAAAGCCATTCCAGTTTCTCGAGTTTTAGCTCTTTCTTGATCAAAAAGGTAATGGCTTTGAGTCATTGCTATTAAAATTATGGTAAATTATAATCTAATCTACTGTTCTAAGCCTGAATCAAACACAAAACTCACTTATTTAATTTTTAAAATTACAAATTTTTATGAAAATGGCGTTTGATGGCATTGGCACTAATATGATCACTTCAATTATTTGATTGTGTAAAGCCGAGCAGCAAAAACTATCAATAGAAATAACGGTAAAAATTGCGGCTTTCTGCTTCACATTACTGTTTTAAGCAACATAATTAGATGAAATCTAGTGCTAGATTCTAGAGACGACTTAAAACACAATTCTCAGGCAACTACTTTTTAAGCACTAAGGACAAATTTAAAACGAGGCGGCAACGGTCAAAAACATTTTACCACTTACCACACTTATTTTAAACTTTTTTGAAATTCCTTTCTCATATTATAAAAATATTTAACCCATGGCCAATCGCTGGCTGTTGACATCGAAATTCCCGAATTGCAAAATGGCTTTTGGCTTTTATGGAAACAAATATAACAAATATCCCAACTGTTAACAGATTCATTAATAAAATGCAGAATTTCAAGCACGTCCACGATGACAGATTCCTATATACTAGTACTATTTGTATATATACCATTTGTATAGGTATTTTAAAGAAAACAGCTCACACTCAACAACTGAGCAGTTGCCATTCAATTGAAATTGCCCGCAAAAATGCGAATGTTGCAATGCAATTAAACGATTTTATGTTTAATATCAATGCAAGGGCTGAAATCAAATTACACATATAACAAGCATGGCCAACAGCAGCAGCAACAACAATGGCTACAGCGGTGGCAACAACAACAATGGCAATGGCAATTGCAATAATAATAAAGCAACAACAGCACCAATAACAACGACGATTAAATTAATGTTGTACACAGAAATCAATTTATTGTAGAAAATGATGCCAATTCAGGCGATCAAAGTGGGTCGACCATGCATGTGTGTGCCTGTGTGTTTGTCCGTGTATATGAGCCGCACATTATTTAATGAATAAATCAGAGGACTCCCGGGCAATAAGCAGTGCGCCAAAGCCCACAAATTTCAATTGTGAAAAGGCATAAAAAACAATTCAAAGCACCAATATCACAACAATATCACAAAATTGACTTTAAATCTATTTCTCGTTATTCTGCAATTGACATATTAAATAAAAAATATTTTTATTATATCTATATAAACAGCTTAGAAACTTTTAGCCAAACTTACACTGATAAAAACCAGCACGAAAATTTCAATATTTACACGTCACGCCAAAGGTTTATTTTTTATAATAACAAAATATTTTTTCCACTTTTTGGTCTACGCTACTGGTTTTTTTTTTAACTCTTTTCAATATTGACATTTCCATGATGCATATTTTATTTCTATATAAATCTTTTTTTTTCTATAGAACCAACATTTTTAGCAAAAAGTAATTTTAAAGTTCGTTTGTTATCCAAGATTAAATTTTTTTGAAGGTTTTTTATGCCTCTTAGTACGGATATAGTTTGGATCAATATTAATATTATAAGTGAGAAACAGCTGATTGGATAACACTTACTTGACACCCTTTGTATTTATACCACACAACCGCTGAAAACCGACTTGAGAATTCTAGTCAATTGAAATTTAATATATTTCTAGTATATTTAAATCGACTACAAAAAACTTCAAATTAAAGTTTAGAAAAATATTATAATTTACTATGGAATATAGTAAATGTAACTATTTGTTTTTTGAAGTGTGTGCATATTAATATTTAAAATAGTTCCTCATTAGATTGAATATGGCACACTTTAATAACGAAGTTTTACAGTTTGTTTTGAATATTATTCATATTAAATTCACTAATTGAATATGTTTTTAGTCAAATTTACGATGTTTATATTTGATTTGAATATGAAATAGATGAACATTAAATTTAATACGAAAATATTCATCCGTAATTTTCGTGAATACAAGTTATAACAAAGGAAATTAAAATTGAAGGCACTAACCTTCACTGTGTTCTCCAAAAATAATCAGATATACCATATACAGCCTCAAGACCTTAAACATACAAAAATGTATAGCCTTGGCAGAAAACAGACCTAAAGACTCAGAATGAATCCGAGCAGATTCCCAAATGCTTGCTAAAAGAAAGCGATAGTCAATGAAACTCCAGCTTAATGCAACGATGCGGATAACTGCTCTTAGTTAAATAAATATGTTGGCCCGATTTGATAATACAATTTACCTCTTGTAATTGTTTTATTCCCCACAGACCTGGGCAATTAGTATCCATAAAATATAATTAGCTAGTCATATTATTGCAGATGTCTATATTGCAATTTTCATTAAATTACAGCGACGGAACTGACAGCCAAAGCGCTCTTAATTCGTTCAATCAATATCGTCAATTCGATTAGAGTAAAAGTAAAGAGTGAAGCTGGCAGCGCCTGAGAATTCCTTATAATAGCCTTACTAACCTCAAATTCAAAAAGAAACAATGCGAAAATAATAATTTTCTAACTGAGGACCTACTCTGAAAATGCACTTCTGCCTCGAAATTTTATTCGTTTTAATGAAAAAAAAAATCGGTGTGTTTTGTTCTTATTGAAATGTATGCTAGTGTTAATGATTTCGTAGGCTCGTGCTCAAAATGTCGAATTAATGACAAGTAACAGGATAATGATATCAGCACGAACCAACTACTATAGCAACAACAACAACAATAGAAGCAGCAGCGGAAGTGAAGTAAGGCAAGTCTGCTCGGCATGCCCAGCACGGCACACAAGTCCCAGGCACATTTATAGTTTATTTGATTTGAATTTGTTGACAGAGCGCCAATGTCCTGCCTATGAAATGCAAACAGTAGACCCTGTTGTTGTGATTGTGTTTGCTCAAAAGTTTAGCTGCCAATGCGTCCGGTCCGGCCGGCCATAACTAGCTCTTGTCCCCGCGCCTTGTCTCCTCTCTCTCTCTATCCGTTTCATTGTAGCTCTCGGAAAATTACTGAAACTATTTGGTGAATTTATTTGATTATGCAATTTATAATTGACGCTTCTCCCTAGAGGCATTGCGTGCCATTCCCCGAATTCCGAACAAAATGTTTATATATTTAGCATTTGGTTTTTGATTTGTGTTTGTCATGCCTAATTGCGTACCGGAAATGCAATTGGACGCACGTTCATCCAGCTGTTGTCATTAATGATGCTGTGCATTTCAATTTCGAGCCTTAAATGAGTTCTGAAACGTGCCAAAAACGCCCGAGGCGCCACCTATGTATTGTTAACGGCAATACAATTAGCTTTGTATACTTAGCTTAAAGCTTTATGTGACTTTAGCGTATTATTATGCTTTTACTACGTTAGCTTTGTCGCAGAAAGCGCTTTAGCGCTTACAACTGCCCCACACAATGTCCTTGCGCGACACCTAAAAACGCCGCCAGCAAACAACTGTCATTGAGAAATAGGCGAGAGCTGAGTACGCATGCACCGACATGATTCTACAAAAGTTCCTGCGTTTAGAAACATGTGGCTCCTTGTCATATGTTTAAATGAGCAAGCTTTTGCAAGGAATTCCTTTTATTTTTCTTTAACTCTTATCCTAAATTTACGAAAGACTTGAGTGGTAGATTCTCATGCAGAAAGACTAGAATAAAAAAATAAAATAAATAAATAGCCAATTCATTTCATAATCATTTAATTGAATAACACATTTTTTAAGGTTTCCTTGAAGTGTTTAAATTTGGTTATTAAATAAATTATTATTTTTGGTAAAGGCAATATTTTTATTCAGTTTTTTTGCTTACAAAATATATATTCTTTTAAGTAAAAAGTATTTAATTAACATATATAGGATATATTTATTATTGAACATTGTATATTGTATAATTTTGTATTGCTCTTTTGTTTTTGGCATTCTAAGACTTCTTTACTGCATCTAGACCGATCATATGTTTCATCCACTTGTGCACAGGACTTTTAAGCTGTGGCTCACTCAACATTACGAATCTCTACACACGCACTCTTACAACAAAACACAATCAAAAGCTGTGCAACACGGAGCGGCAGCAGCTGCTGCCACAAAGCTCTGCCCACCACTACCAACAACAAAAATCGATGCCTAACCGTTTCGCGACGCTCTCAATGCTCTCTACAGCACGCATGGCACGGCGATTGTGCTTTTTCCTCGCAGCTCCTTGACTGTATTGCCCAAAACGCGAATGAACATCGACCGTGGAAGTTGACTGCATGTACCAAGCGCTGCGCTGAAGGTGAATGAGAAAATCTACAGAAGGAAAAAATTATATCCTCAGTGGTTGGCAGTGCCAGAGCAGCCAAAAAAAATCTGAAAAATTATTAAATGGTTATCCTTGTGCAGAAAATGTTGCTGATAAATCATTTATTGCGTGGCTAAGTTGTTAAATTGTTACATAAAACAGCCACCAAGTGACAAACAAAACGCCAGCAAAAGCCCCAAAAAGTTCTGCATGTGTATGTGTGTTCCTGTGTGTGTCTGTGTGTGTATATGTGTGTGTGTGTGCACGCGCTGGCCAAAAGGAGAAAATTTTTTGTGTATCAGAATTTGGCATTGCCTACGCAAAATCATTTGAGCAATGTAAAAGAAAAATTGCGTGTGGCGAGCGTGTGAAATGAAAACGCAATGAAAACCACTTTTTAAATGCAAGTCAAGTTCCGTTCTAAAAATCTATTGAAAGTGAAACGTGCGCGGCCCATGGCTTAATATTGATTTTTCCACATAAAATTTCGCGGCATGCCACAGCGTTGGGGCGCATTTCATTCATACAAATAGAGGCCAGCACAAGACAAGAAGTTCAAAAGTTTTGTCCATGATACCGACAAAGAAATTAATCAAAGTAATGGCAAACATTTTTACAAAAACAAAAAGTTTAAAGGCAATGTCTGCAGTGCAAGTGTATTAGTGTAGTGTGAGTGGTCGTGTATGTGTATGTAAGTTTCTGTGGCAAGCAGTCAAGAGAAAAGCACAAAAACATACAAAAGAAAATTGCTCGAAGAAAATCTCTATCCTCAGTTTGCTTTCAACAACGTCTTCGTGCCACACAAAAAGCGAATTTTATCCCTCCCTCAAAACCACGGACACAGCAACCCATACAGTCGCACACACACACACACATACCTACTCACAATAGCCTACAGACACACACACACACACGCAGACATACCTATACAGTCACACATACGCTACTCTGCTAAATTCGCTCTATCAATATTTACGCATACCATTGTATTAAATATTACGTATACGCTCTCTTCTCTCTCTCTCTCCCACTCTGTTCGCACGCGCTCTCGTCACCATTTCATTGCCTCGCATCTGGCATACACAAAAAAATAATAATCCAAAAAAAAAATTAAATTTCACGCGCTAAACAACAAACAACGAACCAATCATCCTTGTGTCCTTACGCGTTATCCGTGCCGTTTATATTGATTCCTTGCGTACATGTATTTAGAAGTGTTCCAAATACATGTGAGACCAGCGCGTGCAGCCAGCAGCAGCAGCAGCAGCGGCGTCACTTGCCACAAAACCAGCCGCGTTCTAAGTTCCCAATCATCATCTGTGCATCATCACAGCCAGTAAGCCACCCAGCGTAGCCCGCCCGCCAGACGTCCCACACACGCAGCTACTAACTTAGCCAAACTTAATACATATAATAACAAAAAATACAAGCACAGTTATTCAATTACTTTGGCTGCGGTTCACAGAAACGGCAACATTATTTAAACAGTAGGTAAGTTTTTCCTTTTCAAAAAGGGTTGCCTGCTCGTAGGCGCGAAATCATATAACATTTAAGAATCCTTTGTAATCGCTCCTAGCCGTTCATTAAACATAAGTTTTTTAATTGGTTCCATTATAAATTGCGTTGAGGGAGCTCTTGTTAGCTATTTATTTATTTAAATTTGGGAAATATAAGTTTCATTAAACATTAGTTTCTTATGAAAATTTTAAAACCCTTTGTAATTAAGTTGAACTCAACTGATTGCGGTTGGAACAACAAGATGCCAATCATCTGAAGCCAGCAACGCTTTGTACAAGTGTTATTGTGTTGTCAATAAATAATCATATGTAACTAATATTCTAAATAGTTTCTCACACCTTAAAATTTGAAACTCTTGGCCATGACTATCTATCTAGTCTACCTCTAAAAGAATTTCATATACTTTTATAGCTGGCAATCAAGATGCCCACAAATATTGTTATATCATTCTCGATTAAATACAAAACCGCTAGTTCATCTATGGTAGACTACCTTCGTAAAAAGCTTTCTAACTTCTAGTTCAAATTAAATTAATCATGGGAAAGCAAAACCAACGTTTTTAACAGGCTTGACTATTACACAGTTTTTTTTTAATATGTTAATAAGATGCCAACACACCTGAAATTATATAAAACAGCTGTTATGGACAACCTTAATACCTTACAATAGGTACTTGACTTAAGTAAAAATACCCTTCATTGCTGACATTTTGTTCAGTTAAAGGAATGCAAGCCTAATTTTCTTAGCTGAACATTTTTTACAAGCCCTATTACCTACCATTTTGAAAAGGCTCAGGAATTTTTGTATTTTTCATACTCAAAATATAGTTTACGTTTTTCATTAAAAATGGCTAATTGAAAACAAAACCAAACGGATTTATAGTATATAAGAATTGTCTACAGACAGCTAATACTCGTATGTGTAAATAATTATTTTCACAACTACTCAAGCGGATTTTTCTTTGAATTGCACTTTTATTCTTCTAATTGGTGCGCACTTCGCTTTCATTCGGCAGCCAACGGAATTATCTGCGACTAACTGCTGGCGGGAATATTTAACTTGTCTAGCATCCTCTTACACTGAATTATATTGTGTACTTTGTGGTATTGTTTGACTTAATGCCAGCTCAAACTCAATTAGGCATGCTCCACTCTTAATTAGCTTAGCATTGGCCCACAGGATGGTCAAAGTGGCATCAAATACTGGCAAGCACTAAGCTAGCAGCTGTTATGCATAAGCTAGTGGCCGCTTTATCAATGCTATTAGCACAAATTATAAATGCGAAAGCATTAAAGGCAAATCAACAACAAAGGTCAAAGCAGAAACCAACGCGGAGAGAAAGTGGGAGAAAGACGTATAAAAACCGCACATAATTGCTAATATTCAAGCGATAGGCAACTAAGTAAATGGCACAAAAGAATATATATATAGCATATATGTAAATATATGAGGAGCTTGAGTGACACGACAGGCGGCACACGCACACATACACATACACACAGACGCAGACGCACTTTTTTTCCCTACCAGCCCATCTAAATGGCTCTCGACGCCCTGTCATTTTTTCCTTGGCCATTATGTAGCGCAAGCTATTATATACGTGAGATGAGTGTGGCTTATAATGTATGAGTGGCTGGTCTGGCGCTCATCTTTCGCTGATTGCACAAATGCGTGTTATGCGATATGTTTTATTTTTTAATCAATAGTAAGCACACACAATATTTCCGTCATTCGCAACGAAAGCGAAAAGCATAATGATGTGGAAAATTAGTTTTTTTCCCCCCCTCTTCCCTCGTGCCTTCTCCAACATATTTGTCGCCTTTCTTTACTATCTCAGCACAGACTCGTGGCTTCTAGTCTTAACTAGTCTTGCCTTTTATACGTTTCGCTTTCGGACATTTTGCCATAATCGTTTCGCTATTATTTTGTTGCCTTCTCTGGGTTATGTGCGCACAACTGTGAGAGCCAAACACACATGTCTGTCTATGTTCTACTCGTATGTGTGTATGAGTTGGCATGGAGAGTTGCTGAGAGCGCGGTCGACTGAGCATACATGAAAGTTTAACCGTTTCATGCTCAGGCAGAATTGAGAATCGAGCTTAGATTTGTCGGATTTTTGGGAGGGTGGAGGGATGAAAGTAACATCGCTTGAATTTGGCGTGTGTGAAGTGTCCTCTTCCTGTTACGTGCGTGGGTTCTGCAACCACACTCACAATTGTGCCACACACAATTTTCTATTTCAATTTGTGTTGCCGCTTGTCGTGTTACATAGTGTAGTTGTTGTTGTTGTTGTTGTTTGGTACACCTGCACGGTAGCAAGCCAACAAACATGCTATCAATGTCTGGCCCAATAAAACCCGCCTCCTTACACACCCCATCGGTGCACTTCATGGCCAGACTAATTTGTTTTGACAGCTTGATTGTCAGTTTCCGACGTTGCTACAGTTTTTTGCTTTTTGGCCACTTTTTGGCTGCTGTCACTCACTAGAGCGCCGTAATGTATGCTACACTTTTTATCTTTCTCATTTTATTCCCTTCCCATTCATTATCTGCGATTGCCTCGTGTACAAAGAAATTATCTTATCGTGGAATAAAATTCCACTAATCTAGCAACAACCAATTGTTGCTATTTTTGGAGCAACCCTATTCAAATCGGCCGGCGAGCTCCTAATTGAGGTCAATATCTAGGGAATACTATATACACGAACATTGATTTATTCCAACAGTATTTCCCCACAGCAGAAACTTTATTGCAATGATACAACTTTGACGGTAACAAATTTTTTCCGATTGCAAAAAACTTTTTTCATTTGCTGCCCGCTAAGGACTAATCTAAGTTATTTCTGTGTGGTTGGGGCAGAATCATGTGGCCGAAAGTAATGTTCAACTAATTGATACATGGTTAGGCAAATTAGATAATTAAATTCAAGAATACTAAATAGAATTGTTAGTCTAATACGAATACTGCGAGTGTAGCAAGCCCTCATTAATCGCTCCTTGCACAAAATGAACATCTGTTCCTAAACCTAAAATGATCACAACTGGAATAAATGTAAATCTTATCTCAAACACGCTGTAAAGATATATTATATACAGCTTCATTTAAATTCTTAGATATATTATCAGCATGTTTTTTCAATAATTCCATTTAATTATTTATAAGTAATTAAATAGCTTCTTCCATTTAATTACAACAATAAATGTAAATCTTATCACAAATACGTTGTAAAGATATCTTATATACAGCAAGCATCATTTATATTCTCAGAAATATGAATTATAGTACATGTTTTTTCAATAATTCCATTTAATTATTTAAAAGCAATTATAAAAACAAATTGAAACTGCAGAAATGTTAAATAGATTAAATTTTGGATACATGTCAAGTTCTGATTGTAAATTTTTGATATCATTTTCACCATACTTACTTGAATGTATATGTTACCTACAATTTGACAGTCTACTTGTATGTTTGTTTTGTTAGAAGCGATGCCTTAATAAGTCCCTCTTTAGTTTATAGTTTCTAGTTATTTTAAGTAAAATTTTATCACTTTTTATGGCTGCATTAGTGATTTTTGTTAACAAACTTCCTAACTAAAGGCAACTACAGTTGGCATAAAATTTGACAAGCGTTTGAACAAACTGCGCTCATAATTGGTGCCTCCAACAATAACAACACCAACAGCTGTTCCGGTTATAAAAACAAATGCCTTACAAATGTCCCGCATGCCGCGCTGCCACTTTTATTTGTGGCCACTAAAAGCTGCGTTGGTTTCTTGTCGCCCAGACAAATGGGCACCAAAAATTCTATAAAACTAACACACACATACGAACACCTCTGTGCCGACTAATACCATCACACGTACATTGTATAGTGTGTGTGTGTGTGTATGAAAGAAAGGAAACAAAAATGGTTTGCGCTCGTTTTTTATACGAGTATGCCAACAGAAATAGGTGGCCAACAAGCTTTTGCTTGCACACGTATGTGCGAAAATAGACACACATTCCCACATGGATGCTATATAGTTAGTGTATGTATGTGGAAATTATGACGTTGGTAGCTTCTGCTGCGGTGGCGTTGGCGGTTGTAGCTGTGGTTGCACTGCCCACTTGAAATAACAGTGAGCACCATAAGTTGGACATGTGATGCGATTGTGGGAGTGTTAATTGCATTGCAAGCATATACTTCTACAATCATGAATGGTGTTCATGTTCTGTTAAAAAAACAGACACACATAACTGTATAATGATCAAGAATTTATATATACTTTGTACACATTCATACTAAACTACTCTTTTATTCTCCTTGGATAAAGCGTTAGGCAAAATGCTGAAAGCAGAATAATTTGTCGACAACAATACTCCCCTAACATTATCTTCCAAACAAAGATTATTCAAACAAACAATAGAGTGTAAAAGTATAGAAAAGTTATCAAACTTTAAAAGTTTCTGTCTATTTTCCCGCTATAAAAACCTATGACATCAAACTTGGAATGTAGACCAAGCTCATAAGCCATTATGTTATTGTACATTGCCGCTTTCTGTTATATAAATGGCTTTTTAACAAAACAAACAAGAGGCTTTAATTGTCGCGCTTTTCAATAAATATCAACACTTCTCCTGTAATATGTCACGACTTTTCAGTTATAAAGAAAACATTATTATTTTTTTTTTATCAATTTATTGATTCCACATTTCCAATATTAAAAAAATAATTTTTTATTTGCTTGGAATATAATTCGACTAGCCTTCAGAATTCATTCTTATACTTTTCTCACAGCACCTTCTCTGCTCAGTAGCTGTTCCACAAATAAAACTTGCTCTCACTATATTTTTTTGTATTACATGAGTCCGATCCTTCATCCTTATTGTTGTTATTGCTTGCTTGATGTATTATTCACTTTATTCGCTTCAATAAATAAAAAATCACACACCTGCGTGGGATTCAATTTTATGTCTATACTAGTACAGAGAGAAGTCCCATATCTTTTTTATGGCAGCATAAATATTTTATACGAGTCTGAATGCGAGCAATTTGTTAGGAAGCAACAGCTAGTTTGCCGATTGCGAAAACTTGTCTGTGACAGGACATGCTGCGTACACACAGCTTGCTCCTGAATAATAAGCTCAATTCATCAAACAAATCCACTTACTGCCTGTTGCCATTTCCCTAATCAAAAGACGTTCAGCTGCGATATCCTAGCAACTGCAAATTGCACTTAGCATCGCCTCGAGGCACACCGGCAGCAATCAAATTGCCACCTTGTACCTTGCCCTTCCTCCCTTTTGTGCCACAGCCTTCACAGGAAAATAGAGGGGCTTATAATCTACAGTAGATTCGATTTAGGTTGGTTGGTTAACTTCATTCTCTGAATATTTCACCCTACTGACCTCTCTCTAAACAATAGCAATAAGCTTTCGTTCAAACATAGGTTATTATATGAATAAAGTATCTTTTTGCAAAATAGCTATATAATTGTAATAAGACATAAATTCTGCAAATATTAAATTTTATCTAATAAGAGTTAGAGAAGAAGAATGCAAACTATAGCACAAAAATGGTTGCAAGAGTGGCGATACACATATTAATTATATAGAATATAATTATTCACTTTAAATGTATGGTAAAATTATCAATTTAAAGATCTTGTTTTATATCTCAATACAACTAAAATATATTATACCAGATCCTTGTCTGGTAAACCATTCAGTTTTCGAACCAATCAGATTATCAGTTTGTCCATCCATGGACCTCTGCCAGCCTTTTCCAACCATCATTTGTTCAGACTTAAGCACCGAATTTGTCGAGAAAAGAGATGATGGCTTTTTTCTGGGTAGCTATGAAGTCATGCCGCACTGGCCGCAGCTTCGTGGACACTTAAGCTCAAGTTGGCTTTGCATTTAAATTTTATTGATTTACGCTGCGGAAATTTTGTGCACTGGTGGCTCAGAGGCGCCGACCTGCTTCCTTGAGTCGCCCTGCTTCTACGCCTCGCTGGCGCCAATGGACAAACACTTCAATTTCAATTGCCAGCGGCTTTAAGGCGTGGCTCAAAGCCGACTTAAGACAATGCCTGCTCATGGCTATGACCTGTGAATTGTTTTATGCTACGTGGACATAGACCAGAGCTAGAGTTGTGTACCAAATAAACAATGGCAGAGCAAATTTTGAGTCAACACTTACTATAAATAAACGCGCACATCTACATGCAAATTATGTGTTTGCGTGTTTGTGTGTAGAAATTGTCCTTCTCGCGCGACATCTTGAAGCTTCGAGCGTTAAGTAAACAAGGCATTTATATTTAAATTTTGTGCACCATTTGAGTCTCTCCGCATATTTAGTAGAGAAGCCCGAGGGTAACTTTTATTCCAGCAGCACATATCCTGAGCACACTGCATACATAAATATACATACATACGGGTATATACATATGTACATATTTGCGTGGGTGTATGTCTGATGGCCTTTGACGTCAATCCCTGATGCGAACAACAGCAGCAGCAGCAGCAGTAATAGCAACTTAGCTCCCGCAGCAGCGTTGTGAGGCAAAAATTGCGCATACGCCACTTGGGCAGCAGATTTACAATGCAATGAGATCGATTTGTTTGCTCAATAATTTATAGCTACTGTAAATATTTAGCATTAATATATGATAAAAACTAGCCTGCATTTATTAATAACGTTTTAATTAATTAATAATGCAATCAAATTGGTTTGTTTGCTTAATTATTTATAGCTAGTGTAAATATTATGTATTAATATGTGATAAAAGCTCGCTTTCATTTATTAATAATGTTTTAATTACGATTGTTCGATGAGGTGGCTTCTAAACAGCCACAAAGTAAATTTGTTTGAAATAATTGAAATAGAAAGATATTGAAAATTGATGGCATATAAGGAATACATATTAAACATTCATAAAAAGCTATTTATGTTGGCGTCCCATTGTACTCCGATACATGCGGTGTTGAAATAGAATTGAAAGAAGCACAATAACATTAAGCTCACCGTTGTGTGGGCTGTCAGGACTCATTTCCTATTGATTAGATATCGATTCTTCTTTCCTGCGTTATCTCCATGGACACCAGCTGGCAGCTGTCGCTTTGTTTGTAAATTGCCAGCAATTGATCAGATACACCTACGCAACTACTATATGTGTTATAAATAAATCGAACAGTTGTCAACACAATCTTCTCTTCACAATCAGTACACCTGGCTAAAGATTTAGCTTGAATACATTTTTGAAACATTCGAGTTAGTTTCAGTTTCTCTTCTTTCGCAAACAAGGACAGCCTCATTGTCGTATATGGATCACTGTCTGATTTGGCAGTGTCACAGCAGAGCCAAATAAAAATTAAAAGAAAACAAATTGGAAAAGGTCGAATCTAAAAATAAACACACAAATCCCTTCCCACAATTTTCATAACAGAATTGTGCGCAATTTTAGGAAATCTAGCAAATAATCTTAAAGGTCGAAGGTTATTCATAATTAGGCAAAAATAGCTGCGGGACATGATAAGCACATGCTAATTAATGTCTTTCAAAATTTAGTAAATCCAATGAAAATGCAAAACAAGACCAAGGGAGAAAAGCAAAGAAATATGTTGAGCGGAAGAATTGCAAAAATTAGATATGCGCAGGAAACGTCTAGCGTGGCAACAAAAGCAACAACCACAACAATAACGAGGGACTTGTCTCCTTCTACAATGTTAATGAATTCAATTTTAAATACGATGAGCACAGAGCACAACAAAAACGAGAAGAAAAAAAGCGTGTCTTTGTTGGGCAAAAATCCGAGTAAATGCTTAGGGTGCCTGCTAAGGACCTGGCCTGTGGGTGTGCGGCGATTTCTCAGTTCGCGTGTGCTTGTGTGTGTGTGTGTGGGTGCGACTGTGTGTGTAATGCGTACTGCGTGGGCAGGCTGCGTGTGCCCTTGTTAAGTCATTCATAAGTACTTTTACTTGGTAGCGCTCTCCCTCATTTGTAGTCGTAGCCGAAGGCGCATTTCAAGTGTTTCAAGGATATGGCGCCAAGCAATTTGCTAACAAATTTTGTAGGATTTCTCTACTTTATTCAAATGCGTGCCAGAGTCAAGCTTGGCGACAAATATTATTCATTCAGGCATTGGACATTGAACAACAATTTCCTGAACTTTTACTTTATTTAGCCGATCAAATAGACATGATTTTGATTTTATTTAGCAGATGAAGAGGAAACTTGAATGTTAACTTAAGGCAGGATCAGGATTTCTAAGTAAACAGGAATATTCTGAATGTGTCAATTTGTACCGCCAAGGGCATACGCATAACTTTACCATAGGGGGTGCCAAAAAATAAAATTTTAATTAAATAATGCACGATGCTTTTAAATAATAATTTATGTATATGTTCAATGAAAAAACTTAAACAATGCTAACTCAGTTCCATTGTAAGGTGAAATAGTGCGCCATAGCAATGAATGTGTGGTCCACATGTTAGTACCACAAGAGTAAGAAAACCCCTTTTTTGACAGGCCATTCTTAAATACTAAAACCTTTATGCAAGCTCTATGAAAAATTTAAACCTATTGTGATGTGTGAAGAAGATACAATTAATAGTGTATCGCTAATTTCGATTTGTAATAATATTTTTATTCTCATTTCTTCAGAACGGCAGCGGGGACACAGCAACAACAAAATGCCGCCAAATACGAAAGCGGAAGAGCCAGCGCCAGCGCCAGCAGCTGAGACAACGGCGGAGCTGGAGACAGCAAATCAAAAGGTTGAAGAAACGACACAGCACCAGCATCACAAGTTCCGTGAACTGGACCAGCAGGAAGAAGCAGCCGCCGCAGCTGCAGCCGCAGAAAGTCAAAGAATCTCACAAGTGGAATCAACAACGCCAAGACCAACCACAACAGAGGCTGAGGGTAAGACCACACCACATATGTATATTTGAACAATAAAACAGATAATGATTCATTTAGAAGCCGCCACCACCTCCGTGCCCGTGATCAAAAAGATCGAACATGCCGGTGAGGTGGTCACCGAAGCTATAGCCGAACGAACCGGCCTGCCCACATGGGGCGTGGTGGCCATTATAATACTCGTATTCCTCGTCGTCTTTGGTATCATATTCTTCTGTGTGCGCAGATTCCTGAAGAAGCGAAGAACCAAAGATGGAAAGGGTAAGAAGGGTGTCGATATGAAATCGGTACAGTTATTAGGATCAGCGTACAAAGAGAAAGTAAGTATCTGAAACGCCATCAAATCTTAGTAGTTATTGGGTTCTGGTATGCATTAGGTTCAGCCTGATATGGAGGAACTCACCGAAAATGCCGAAGAAGGCGATGAGGAAGACAAGCAGAGCGAGCAGAAATTGGGGAGACTCAACTTTAAGGTGAGTTGGTCTAGCTATAACCAAATAGAACCGCTTCCCCAGAAACGCTGTGGTTGCTGCCGCCCATCTCAGAGGCCAAACACTCTCTTACCCAACTTAACTAATTCAATATACTAACTAACTACATAAATACTAAATGTGCGCACTGCCCGTTTAACTTTGGTTTTTTTTTTTATAAAGGAAACATATCGCAGTGTAAAATGTGCCAACTATTAAGACTTTGCTGTACTCTTTACAATCAATATACTCGTATATCATCATAAGTACATACTATTTAACAATTGTTTCGAAAAGAACAGCGGAATTTCACAAAACAAACATTTTTCTTTTGAATAAATGAACGAACTAAATACAGAGAATTTCAATGTTATTAAAATTTAGCAGAATTTAATCGTCAAAGCTAAATAATTTGTAGAATATGAAGCGTTTTCAAAGCCTCTTTGGAACAGTCCTAAAAATGTATTATTTGACATGTCAATTAGAATTAGAAACTAGTATTTTTAAAATAGGTGAACTTATTGGAAGGAGAATAAGAGATTTAATCTGAATCAAAAATCAATATTTATAGAATATTTCAATTCAGGGTTTAAGCTGATTTCAAGTTTTGAAAAAGCATAAGAGTAGCTGAAGAAAAGAATTTTCAAATATTTTCAAAATAAACTTATAGAAATTGATTTCAAATGTGAAATACGCCATTTTTTAACGAATACAGTTCGCTCACAGCATTTACATGAAACATTGGACACAAATTGCTATATTATTTGTCAAATTAGAACGCAAAACAAATGCAGACCACAAGCCATAACATTTTGAGGAAATGAACAACTCTTTATAAAACGTTTACTAACACAAATCTCTCTGTTTTTGTCTCGGCTCCCCTGCACTCCTCTTCTTGTTTGTCACCTTATTTACTTGCAGCTCGAATACGACTTCAACTCGAACAGTTTGGCCGTCACTGTCATACAAGCTGAGGAGCTGCCCGCGCTCGATATGGGCGGAACTTCGGATCCCTATGTCAAGGTCTATCTATTGCCCGACAAAAAGAAAAAATTCGAGACGAAAGTGCATCGCAAAACGTTGAGTCCGGTCTTTAATGAAACGTTTACATTCAAGGTGAGCAGCTATAAACGATATTTGATATTTACGCGGACACACAACTAATACATTTTGCCACATAGAGTTTACCCTATGCCGATGCCATGAACAAGACGCTCGTATTCGCAATCTTCGATTTCGATCGCTTCTCCAAACACGACCAGATTGGAGAAGTCAAGGTGCCGCTCTGTACCATCGATTTGGCGCAAACGATTGAGGAATGGCGTGATCTGGTCAGCGTTGAGGGTGAAGGTGGACAGGTATGTAGAGGTTGCAATTGCTCCTTATTTGATACTCGTATCTATTCTATTTTTTATATTTATATACTATGTATTTAATAAGGAGTCCATCGCTCTGTCGAGAGCGGCTCTCCACATACATATATATATATATATATATATCTCTATATGTATAAAAAAAAAAAAAATTACAAATAAAATAAATGTGCCTCTAAGTGTTTTATGCCCACCATTTGTTGCTTATCAGTTCAGTTTTTCCGTTCTCTTGGCTTATGAGTTCAAAAACAACAAACAATGTATCACAACTTACCAAAATAAAACAATCCAAGTACAAACCTAATACTATACAACCAAATACAAGAAGTGTGAATTTGTTGACTTATGTAACCTACACTGTAATTCAAAAATTGTGTGTGTTTTTGTGTGTTTTTGTAATTACATTACAAAGCACAAACGAACAAACAAACAAACATACAAACAACCAACTACTGCAATGATACCTTTTTGTTTATAAATATATTTAAATATCGTTAGAATATAATACTAAGTATAAATAACAATAATGAAGAGTAAAGCCCCCCTTGCCCAAGTTGTTTAAAATGCAGCATTGTAAAGCAAAAGCTATAATTACTACAACAACAAGAAACAGTAACAGCAACAGCTACAGAGACAAATACAATACCAATTACAATAACAATAACAACAGCATACCTACAACAACAAGAACAAGATCAACAACAACAGCCATCTGCGTTAACAGACAGCAAAGTGCCTAACTTTTATTCAACTTTTACACACCCAGTTCAAAATGCAAATCAATCAAAACAAATTAAATATCAATTCTCTAAATAAACTTTTCTTACGCTCTGTATCCCCTGCTCGTCCCGAAACCATAACCATAACCAAAACCAAAACCACAACCAAAACCAACAACAACAGCAACAGCAACAAAGACAACATTTTGAAAACCAACTCGAGCCAATATAGCATTAATCCGCGCACATAGTATTAATGAAATATTACGCACGAGTTTCATTTTCCAATCCCCCTCTACATATGTCTTCGCCCCAAACTAAAGTATTTACTACTTATCTATATTTGTTTACAACCTACGTTTTACCAAAACAAAAACAAAAAATTAAACTCTTAAATTTCTCTTTCTCCAATTCCCCCCTTTTATAAACTTGTTTCGAATTCTTTTCGAACACAAAAACAAACCAAAACAAAAAATACTCTTTTCTTGAACTCTTGTAGAAGGTAAATACAATGAAAAAAAAACTCAAACTTTAAAAAGAAAATATTGAAAAATAAAAACGAAAACTCTTTACACTTTTGCATATATAATTTGTTCTTTTTTCCTATATAACTTGTTCTGTCTCTCTGTCTCTATATATATCTCGCTCTCTATTTGAACTGTCGCTCTTGTACACATAACTACCATACATTTCTATCTAAAATATATCCTATACATACTACTATGAATATCTATTGAACTTGTTTATGGCATCAAGCAATACACCAACCCACATATACTATATATACCTATACCTGCCTATCTACTTATATACTATATATACTACCTACATGATAAGTAACCCACGTTAATCAACCAAAATCAAAACTCTGTGCGCGTTGTTCTTGAGCGATTGTTCCTGTACTACTACTTGTTATGTCTGCATCTTTTCTCGCATCATTAATATTGTAGTTGAATTTTTGTATTTATCAAACATCCAGAATATATTTATTCAATATTTATACAAACATTACTTGTATGTATGAACCTTCTTATTTGCAAAGAATGAAGATCAACAATTGTTTAGCATCGCAAATGCAAATAATCACACTGCAATATTATTTTGTTGAGAGAATTTGTGGCATACAATGCATATATAAAAGATAATGTGCTGCAAAACACTGATCAGCATGGCTATGTGAAGTGTTTTCAAATGTGTTATATTGTATTGCAAATAAAACATACTAAATATATATATGCAACCCTGTCTGCAGCTCTACAAAATTATCATTTTCCCTGATACCCGACACTCGATCTATTCTCATTTTGTGTTCAAAACCGAGGGCCTTTGATTTCCCTGCAACTTCCAAGCCATGCTGATACAAACCGATTTCCAATATATAACAAAACCTTCCAACACCTTCTTTGAACCCAACACTGCACAGATACAAAACACACTAACCGCTACTCACACAAAGCCGCAAAATACTAATTTTGTTTGCACTTCAATTGAACGAATTGAGCTCGAAAATCAATTTGAATAAGAATTGTTTTGCATAATTTGTATAAAGTAGTTACATTTGTGCACCCAAAATTTTGTATAACAGCTAGACCAAGTACACATACACAAACTAATAAACACAAACACCAGACTCACGATATTTTGAATAAGTAGGAGAACTGTTGTCGGATATGCACGACTATGAAATGCTCTGTGCCCAATAAATGAAAAATTAAAATTGCAAATATAGCCAAAAAGCAGAACGTTTTCAAAATTTCCATTCTTGATGGAATCACCAATTACAGTGTTAGTTAACTTCATTATTATTCAACATCCCGTCAACATTTGATGAAGATCGGTATGATAAAGGCCGGTACAAAAATGGCTCCAAAATGTTTAAATTCAGCATTCAAAACCGACATTATTAGGGTGTCTAAAAATAGCCAAAACTTTTTGAAAATTATTGTAACTGGAAATGACACGTGCAGTTTTCAATACGATCTTGAAACTAAGCATCAAAGTGCTGAATGGAAGGATCCAGATGAGCCAACCAAGAAAAGAAATCACATGTTACTACGATTCAAAGGGAATTATTAATCGGGAACTTATTTCACCTCGCCAAACAACTGCCGGAAGCAGTGTTTTCTATTGGTGTTTTGAAACGTTTGGAGCATAGGTTTTGTATCGTAACGTTAGGAATATTTTCAGAAAAATGAATTTTCCTATGAAAAAAAAACCCCTATAAGAACGTCGAAGTATTTTAAAAGAATGGCGTGAATTTTGCCAAATATATGAATACAAAAAATATCAAATTACAATTAAAAAAATTGTCTACATTTTTGTATCCTTTTGTGAGCCAATTGGAATCGATACAGAAGTAACTGTAGCTTTATGTCTAGGTCTGATTTGAGAAACATATTTTCTATTTCAGGGCTTCTATGCCCAATAGTTCTTCGCAAATTGTCTGTTTTCTGCTACGTTCTATAGTATCAACATTTTAGAAACTAATTCTCTTTAAAGTTGAAATTTGTGGTTTACCTTTGTTTGGAAATTCCTGCGCTATTAGTTCCATTTAATATCTCTGCAATAGCTTAGCTTGGGTACGGGGCATTCAAAATATTGGTCAAGTGATGTAAGGAATGTTAATAAAATAAAAAAACAAACTAACACAAAAGCTACTCCCACACATAAGCAAAGCAACAAATACCAACAAACAGGCCTACACAACTCAACAAACACACACCCACACACATACACAGCCATACACAAGCACACGAATGTATAACATGCTCTAACAATGAAAACAAGAAGAAGCTTTACATTAAGCTTGTGTATGAAAGAAAAACTAAATATAAAAATATGAATATGAATATACTTAATAACAGTAACTGTAAATGAAATTCAATGCATTTTGTGATGGAAATGGATGTGGAAATGAAAATGAAATTGCCAACTTTATTCAAAGAATTTACTCAACAAAATTATGAACTATTATATTTATTTCGATTCCGATATTTTTAGTTTAGCAACTCACATACTACATTGCAAATATGATTAACCCAATCCTACTGCATGTTTTTGCTAACAAATCTTATACTCTTTCGACTTTTCTAAGACATGCAATATTTTAAAGTACATACATACATATAAATACATATGTATATGCTTATGTATATGCAACACTATGTATTAGAAATACTCACACACTTACATTCAGACACGTACCACACAAGACCAGCAACTTGTACACGGAAAAATAACAAAAAATTCGTTACATGTAAACATTTTCTTTTTGAAATTTGCCAACTTATCTAAATTCAAATGAAAATCAAAAATGTTTAATATGCTCTTTATTTTTCTCTTTAATTACCTTTTACGTATCGCTATGATAAATCAAATCCAATCAAAAACTATACAAAATCGTCTCGAAATTCACCAATTTGATAATAACAAATTAATCCACAATTGGATCAATAAACAAACTGTACTCTACTTGAAAATTTGACTCATATCGTAATGCATTTATCGTCGTCTCTGGAACCATTGCGTAACCGATCTGTCACATGTAAGTACCCGATAAGTCTGAGCTCTCGCACCATATGTGAGACAATTCATAATTACCGTTATTGTTTATGTTGTTGTCGTCATAAATGTGTTACAGTTATGTTTGTGTTGTGTTGTGTTTGCCTTTGCCTTTGCCCTTGCCTTTTAGTTTTGTTTGTATTCAATTCCGTTCCATTCCATTGTTTCGCCAAAACAAAATTACAGCAAAATATGCATAAATATGCATACATACTAATCGTATTGTAAAAGAGCCAGGAATTGGTATCTTAAATTTGGATAATTGCATTTTCCTTGTTGCTGTTTTTTGTGTTCACTTTGTCGCTGTCTCGCCCAAAACTTTATACATATATACGATATACATACGATATATATCTATGTGTTTAAATTATGATTTTGCATATAACTTGTTTGTGTGCTGTAATGTTTAAGCAGAGCTTCGATAACAGTCAAAAAACCAAAACAAATGCTCAACACTATTATTTTCGTTTTGAGTTTTTAAAGTTAATTATGATTTATACTTTGGTTAGCATAAAACAATCACCCCCAGAACATTAAATGAGGTTAAACAAAAAAAAAAAGCAAAATAAGCAAAGACCATACAATTGTCAATTTCAATTAAAAATCAAATTCAAAAAACAAATCAAAGTTTCGGTAAGTGACTACTTAAACGCTCTTTCTATCTATCTCTCTGAATCTCTAACTACTATAACTATCTAACGCTCGCTCTATATCGCTCGCTCGCTCGCTCTCAACTTTATTTAATATTCAAAACACGTTTAATACTAGCAAAAATAGTTTAAACAATTTTTTTCGTCTTGACTTTCATAACTAAAAGCCCCGGTTAGTTAGTACAAATTGCTGACTTGAGTAGTGTATAAAGCAATTGGCATTGGATTGGTGCAACGATCAGGAATGAAGCAACAACCAAAAAAGGAAGAAGCTCCACCCACTCTATATACCGACTATATACACCAAAGAGCTGCAAGTGGTTCCAACCAACCAAGGGTTTATGTACAATACAATACTTACCAAATAGTCTAGAGATTTCATTTTGAAACTGAACTGTAAAATATGCTCTGTAATGCTCTCTATATTTAACTTGTTTATGTTTGTTGATATGCCTAGACATTAAGTATTTAGCGCTTGTCAATTGGTTTCAATACTAGAGCGCCGCTGGCAGCTGTAGTCTTATTAAACCCACATATACCTGCATATATATATATATATATTTGTTTTCATTTTTCGACAGCCCAGGCCTCAGAGAAATCTAGTTAGTTTCAGCTTATTGTATATAATATCGATCGATCATTCTAGCAGCGCTCACTAACTGACTCCAACTGTCTCTGGATCCTCTCAACTCTCTCCTCATACTATATTTTGTTCCATACATATGTATTTGTTTTTGAATAATTAGGTTGTGCAGCAAACAAAACAATAACTGAAATCTTTTTTATCTTTTTGCATTTTGTGCAGTTGGTTTTGAGCTGGGTGTCATAGAAAAAGTTAATCTATAAAAGCAATTACTATAATAAATCTTAAGTACTTGACTATTCGTTGAAGAGCCAACCAACCCAACCTTATAAGCAATATCCCATTGAAACTATACTATACATGGCCTAAACTGTAAGTTTGTGTCGTGCCTACTCGTAACTACAACAAAATAATAAGAACACGTCTCAGTATTCCAGTTAAGCCACAGAAACTACAACAATAACAACAACAACGAATACAATACAATAACAATAACAACACGCAAACAAATTCAATAAATATGTTTAAGTTGCTTGGGTTTCTTTTTTCAGTTCTCTGTTCGCAGTTATAAGTTTTGATTTCTATTCCTATTTACACTGAACAAATCGAAGCTCTAAGACGTGCAGTAAATGTGTTTAATGTTTATTTTTTGTGTCAATACTCAACTATGTAACTAAACTAAACTATATGTACCCACTGTTTACCTACTTATACATACATATGTATAACGAGTATATGAAATTACATACATATATCTATATACCTAATACTATATGTATCAATTTCTCACGTAATGTATACAGACTATAATTTGCCCGTGCAGTATTTATGTATTTTTCGGTATTCTGATTGTGGTGTATAATGTCTTACTATTGAATTGTGGATATTTATAATTATTTTCCGTTTTCATTTAAATACGCTTGGAAAATGGGATATTAGAAAATATATTAAAATATAAATATAAAGAAAATGTCCCCTCAATGTTTCCCTCAAAGCTGGTGTATGTGTATCCTAGAGAACATAAAAAGGCTTACTTGATTCACTTTTTGTGTTCAGTCCCCAGTGTCAGTACCTGTATTCAAATAATTCTGAATAACTAACACTCTAGTACATTTAATGAAATGTCCGAAATAACTAAGACAGAATCGTTTTCCCAACTTGGCAATAAAATATGAAGTTTCTCTTCAATTTAGTAAATACTGTTTCCATATTTTATTTCTCTAAATGAGTACACATTTCTGAAATTCCACAACCAGTTTACATTTTCGTTTTCTTAGCTTTTAAAGTTATTAATCTAATAACGCAATTTTGTGTTAAACTAATTTTCTGATTGGATTCGATGCTGCCAACCTATAGAAAATCTCTGTCCGAGCTGCCAAGCTAAGGTTTGCCTCACAAAAACACTCAATTGTTCAGTTGAGAAAACGAACTTTACTGTCCCCTATACTATTTGTTTGAAATAACTGCGCCGCACTTCTGCTGTTAGCCCGCCCCTGTGAATATAAAAACTAAATTTAATTAAATGTAACTTTAGATTTTATGTGACTTCTTGTTTGTTAAACGAAATCCCCCCAATATCTTACAACATGTTGCTAATCCAAACCACAAATCCTATTTATCCCAACTCTTTACTATGAACAGGAAAAGCTTGGTGACATTTGCTTCTCTCTGCGTTACGTGCCGACCGCTGGAAAACTAACCGTTGTTATCTTGGAGGCCAAGAATCTGAAGAAAATGGACGTCGGTGGATTGTCTGGTAATATAACGTGCTACCAATGCGTTGCCAAAACGAACTCAATGCTCAAGTGGCTCATCGGCAAACAATATTTTCATTTTGCATACAAAGGCCACAAGCATTGCCAAATTTTGGCAACGTTTTCGTTTATATGTGTGTTTTATCTTTAAATGTGTGCGCGTTCTTTTGTTTTTTACAATCTTTCTTTTCTGTATATGTATGTGTATATTTTTGTGTTAGTCGAATATCATTTTGTCGTATCTTTTCTTCAAGCTAGTAACTACATACATATGTAAATGCAAACGCAAAGGCAACGTTTGCAAAAGCGCTAACAACAAAACGTTTGCTAATACTTAACACCGAACAATTTTTCTTCAATTATTTTATTCGAATCGTTTTTTCCAACTAATATAATAGTGCAAATTTTCAACTTGCATTTTTAACTTGAATTGCGTACGCTACTCGTGTAAAGAATTCATTTATGTACTACATGGATATATTTTGGTTCGGCAACGTTTCCATATTTACAAATTCGCGCACTATTTTACTCATGCCTGTCTGCAACAACTACAACAACATTTAACAACAATAATAACAATAACAATAATAACAATTCCGGGCTCTTGCTAAATTAGCTGACCATGAAAATCGCTTGCTTTTAGCTTCACCTATGCATGTACGTACTGATTTTTTCTCAACTACTCACTTGATATCATTTTTGGCCGACTAATGAATGCGGCTTCTCGAGAGCCCAAAAACGTTGCCGCCAAATATATCCAAAACAAAAAACAATACCTGAATATTCAAAGTTCTTCTAGGCTTTTACAAACAAAAAGCCTCTTCAATATTTCCATGTTCTAATAATATTCGATACAAAATTATTATAATGAGGTTAAACTGTTGACCGATTTTTGAGTTCATTATATACTTTTTGTATGCCTTGAGTTGTGAAGTTTCTGTGTTCAATCAAATTTTACGAATTTTGAAAATTGAACAAATGAAAGCTTCATCGAAAGATGGAAAACTTTCCTTTGCTCAAATATATAACCGTTGTTTTTTTTCGTAATAATGGTAAATCTTAAATTGATAACCAGTATATGTATTTAAATATATCAAGTTTTTGTGTCTCATATTTTTTTATGTGTGTTAAAAAAAAAAATGCAACGAAAAACGTAAATCAATTGTTAATAAACAAAATACCAAAGCTAAACAAAAATCTGCTCATCAACTTTCAAGTTTTACTTTGTTATTATAAAAATGTTCTTTTTTCTTTCTTTCAATTTTTTCTATTTTATAGATCCATATGTGAAAATTGCAATCATGCAAAATGGCAAACGTTTGAAAAAGAAGAAGACAAGTATCAAAAAATGCACCCTCAACCCTTACTATAATGAGTCGTTCTCATTTGAAGTACCATTTGAACAAATACAAGTATGCGAGAATGTATTATACTATCCTATAAAACCACTACTACTACTACTACTCTACTACTACAACTACTACTATACAAACTACTACTATACAAACTACTACTACTACTTACTACTACTACTACTACTACTACTACTACTACTACTACTACTGTTACTAAAAGCTGTCCCCTTCTGAACTATCTACTACTTACTACCAAAAGCCAAACATAATGTTCTAACAGTTTGAGTAACAAACCTGCCCCCCCAAAACTAAAAACCAACACATACTCTAGCCCTTTTCGTGCAATTGTTGTTGTTGTTTATATAATAACTATATGCAAATATTGAATACTCGTATTCCGAAAATAAGCAACAGAACTCTATCAAACAAACAACTCAAACACATTAGTGCCAACATTTTTCGTAATACCCAAAAACCAAAAACTAAAATCCAACAACTTAATCTACTACCTCTACTACATACTTACTATGTGTACAAAAATACCCAAAACAAAACGTATTCAATGTTCGATGTTGTAAATTAAACTTAACAATTCTATGCTTTATTATTTGGTTTGACAATACTTTGCACAACGACTGCCACGCCCACTGGCTGGCTGTATATATTTAAAAAAAAAAACAAGTCGTTGGCAACTTTTTTTAATTTGCCTTACTTTGTGTAGTTGAAATTTGTGAAACTCAATATATATGTTTTGATTTCGTAAAGACCTCAATGTGCTTAGCTAAATTCATTTGATTTCAAATTACTTTATGTTGATTATTATATAAAATTAATATAGGTGTCCCAAAAGCGCTTTACCGCATGCAAAAAAAAAAGCCAAATAAAAAAAAAACAAATTCGTTGCGATCCTCGCGCAATTTTGTCTTTATTGTAGTTGCCACACTACACGCAAAAAGCCATAAAGCCAAATAGCCGAAAAGCCAAAAAGCCAAAAAGTAAATAAACAGACTCAGACGCAGTGCAATCGACAGACGCGCCAATGCAACGCTGGCTCAGCTGACACGCAACAACACGCACAAATACAACACTGCATACACTGCAATAGAAACTACAAAAGGGAGGCACAGTAGTGTTGCTCGTTTGTTCTTCTGTTTAAAAACTCACCGCGTGTTTAGAGCAGCAGCAACAGCCCAGAAATACGTATTCGCGCACTCCACACTCAAAACTCAGAGCTCTCTCTCTCTCTCTCCTTCTCTAAAGTTGTTAGCAACAATTTAGAGGGCCACTATACCTACTACAACTACAACTACCTAACTACTCTTTCCATAATACAAACTATCGCAAACTCTCAGCGGCGTCAATAATGCACCACCACTGGGTACATTATTTTGACACTGTCTTCTGATTTGATATCGAAAAACCAAAATGCACCAACACCAACAACAACTACAGTACAAAAATACACAACTACAACTACAGCCACAAAGAGAAGTATAGTGTATCGCAAACTCTAATCAGCATACATACAACATACTATACATACATACCTACAACTATGTACTTACATATAAAGATTCCAAATCGGTTTATACGTGTGTCTCTTCTAACCAAAAAGCTAGATTGTTCCCTAAAAGTAGGCAACAGCTGCGTACCCCCAAAAAATCAAATTCAACAAAACTGAAAGAGTAACGACAAATGGGATTGAATATTATACATTTTCGTTTACACGTATTTAATGAACATTTTTCTTTTTGCTACAGTCTCAATATACTTATAAATATATATCAAATAAAAAGTAATTTGTTCATTAGCCAAAGGTGAAGAAAAAGAAATCTTTACCTATACTACTATATGTGTACAACCGTATGAGCTCTCCATACACTTACTCATCACTCAGCCACATAACAACGCGAATACAGAGCCAATCATCAGCTTTTTATCAAATTAAATTTATAATAATAGGCTCATACGCCGCCACGCTTCAATCTTTTTATTTCCGAGCTTAGAATTTTAGTTTATTTTTTTTAGCAGTGCTACCCATTCTTAGCTTAAAGTTCAAGACATTTGCATGTTATGCTTGCTTTGTGCCAACCTGAACACACCAACATTCTCATACTCTTACCTTTGTGTCATATTAGTGCTATAATTAATGGAGCTTTTGTAATGCTTGAAATATATGCCACTTTTCTCTAATTGTCTGCGTACTGAAACTTCGAAATGTTCCAAGGAAACAAGAAACAAGCCCTTCTGTATAGTAACCCTATGTGCCCTATGTTCGCCGACGACCCTAAATAAACCAAATAAAAGCATTCAGAGTCCTCAGAATACAGCATTTACTCCATATTTCCAAACTTTTAATTGTACAGTGTCATAGAAAGAAAAAGAATTTGCCGAGCTAGAATTTATTCATACCGTGTTGGAAATATCTAACGCCTCATAAAACACTAATAAGAGCATTAAGCAAAAAGTGTTGAAAAATACACTAAAAGCTTCTGATTGTTCACGACATGCTGCCATACAAAAGCTGACTGCTTTGAAGCTCCTATTCAGCGTCATTGTCCCTGATGATCTATTAGCTCCAAATTAAATGTTTCAGCGCTCAATAGAGAATTGACGATGTGTAGCAAATAACTTTATATCGTTAATATTTATTTATTTGGATTGTATATTTCTCCTTTCTTTACCACCAGAATGAAAACAGCAGTCAGCGAATTCTTTCATTTCACTTCCACAAACTACTATCCCCACAGCTGTAAAAACGCACGAAGTTCTTGCAAAAAGGATCTTCCTGTAAATGCTAATTAGCACTCAACACTAGCTCCAGTAGTTGTCAAATATTATATATATTTGTAACTTGCTTTGTAGTTATAGTATGTCTGCCTGATACTAACAACTCCCCCCACAGAACACGTAAATGAAGAAATAATCTAAGAAACAAAAACACTACAAAAATATTCTTCAACTCTACGTTCAAGTCGCAAGCCCCCCACCCCAAGACTGTAATTGTGAAAGAAAGTTAAGCTTTTATACTAATCCATAACTGTTTTATTCTTTGGCAATGAAAACTCCCATCGTACAACGTCTAGAAAATCTGTCTTGTTGTTACCGTTGTGGATTACGATCGTATTGGTACCTCTGAACCCATTGGACGCTGTATACTTGGCTGCATGGGCACTGGCACTGAGCTCCGCCATTGGTCCGATATGTTGGCCTCACCTCGTCGACCCATTGCACAATGGCACACTCTCAAGGATCCTGAGGAAACTGATGAGATACTGAAGAATATGAAGTAAAGCGCTACACGGCTGAAAATCGCAGGTTGTTGTCCAAATCAATAATAGATCTTATTTGTAGTAAATGCAGATCTTTTTTAGACTTACAGCACATCTATCAAATCTACGTTAATGGAAACAACCAAAGAACTCTCAAGCGAACCGTCAACATATTTATCACATTTATGCATCATCAGCTGATCCCGAAACAAACAACAACACACCAACAATCAAATAAAATTAGCCCCACACAGTTAATAATATCGTAGTTATTGCAAGTCGTACAACCTGGTAACGAATTTTTCCAACAAAAACAACAACAACAACTTCTTCTACGACAAATCAATCAAAGCAGCAGTAAAAACGTAACTTAATGATTAAGTTTTGGATTTCTTTAAAGCAATGTTCCGCTTCTCTTCCTAACTTGATGCATCGCCTAAATTAGTGTGTTAAGAAGTCCCATGAAACTCATACAAGCCCTTGTTTCCAACACTGGAACTTTGTTGTTGTCTTGAAATTTGACAAGTTAATCAATTGAAATCGCTAACAAAATTTTGAGTATGTTAAATAATATAATATTACAAAATTCATATACTCAAAGGAACGTTTTTAAGATGAATTCAAATCGATCATCATTTTAAAATGTTAAGTTTCATTCGATTATTTAATTAGAGCATGTCAGAGATTATAAAAACAAATTAGTCCAAGTTGTTTTTTTTTTCGTCTTTCATTTTCTCACAAGCTGTTCAAAGTTTATTAGAGAATTCAATGAAAATATTAGAAATAATTTAATAAAATAAAACTTATATAAACTGAACATAAATGCAACATAAACTGTTATGTAAATTATTTAATTTGTTTACTTATTGAGCATTATGTATTTAACTGTAACTGTGTAAGTATATGAATAAATTAACTTTAACAAGTATTTATATATGTATACAAGTATTGAAAACCAAAACCAAACGCAAAAAGCAACTGCATATGACATACATATTGAGAAAAATAAAACACACACAAAAAGTAAATATATAATATATATATATATAATATATTTATATATATGTATAAATATTATGTATAACCCCTACATAGACTAATGTTATGTATACACAGTGCTGAGTTTTTGGCAAACCGGCAGATAATGCAGAAAACAAACAAAATTAAAAAAGCGAAGAGGAAGAGATGAAGCGATAAGTATAACAACAAATCCAAAAGCAAATAACAAAAGTTAAACTTTAAATCGTGATTTCAATGAAATATATCATCAGTTTAAAATTAAAAAATTAACGAACATTTTAAGCAGTGGCACGCCAAACTACTTATTTTATCTTTTTTTTTCATCTCAAGTTGCATTTATTTGATTGGCTTTCAACTTTCTCTCCCTTTTTTCATTCCAGCTAACTAACAGTTGTCTTTCTCATTAGTTTGCTTTCTCTAAAGCTCTAAAGGTTTCTCTAAATGCTTCCTCTGCCAATTTCTTCTAACGACTACTCCTCTATATCAGTTAGTCAGTCAGTCCTTTTGCATTGATTTACAAAACATCTTAGTCATAACGAACATATACATACTAACTAAACGATTATGGCAAAATGTTGAAAAAAAAAAAGAAATATTAAGAACAATAATAGTTATTACTATTTATATTATATATTCAAGTAAATATATATATGTATGTATGACATCTAAACAATACACATACACGTATATATATAAATATAAAATGTTGTGCCAGGCTGCACGATCGTAACTAAATTGAACTTTTTTAACAAAAGGATCAACAAAAATGCTATTGAAAAATGAAAACAAAAAAACGAAAAACGAAAAAAGATAAGCTAAATTTGTTGAAAAGGAACAGCAGCTGCAGCAACTCAACAGCAACAATAATAATTATTTGATTTTTTCCATTATGCAAGTAAAAGAAATTAACTACTAAATTAGATGTTTTTGTCCTGTATAAATATTTGAAAGCAAATGATACTTATATTTAAAGTATAATACAAATAATAATGCTAATAGTTCGGGCTGTATGTGTGTATGTGTAGAACTACCCCAGAAACAAATACCTACATAGTATATTCACCCACACACACACACACACGCACACACATACAATGGCCTCACCTACACCGTTGTAGTTATGTTCACCAAAAATACACACACAAATGCAATCTAAATATTTATGTAAAATAATTCAACTAAATTTATGAAATATCGCAAAGAAATGAAAAAGAACAGCAACAAACAAATGCGTGTTTCAAAAGCAAACAACTTATAGAGAAAAAAATTACAAGTATTGTTCAATAAATTTAAAACCCAACAAGAAGAAACTATGTACTTTCCTTTTCCAGATAATTGCTGTAAATTAATAAACGAGTCACAAGTACATATGTATTCTAAACAATATAGACATATGTATGAACATTTTAAAGATGAATCAGACAAGAAATCTAACACACCAACAGCAGCAACAACAACAACCAACTATATATACATAAATACTTGCATATTTAACAAAATTATATGAATGATGTTGATTATTGATTTAAACTGAGAATGAATAAAAAATTATATATATATACGAAAACAACAACCAAATTCAATTCAATTTTATTTACTTTATTTTAATTTGTTCAAAACCCGGACAACCCCGGCATCATTAAATAAAATAAGGGCCTGAAGTTCAATATTTTGTGCAATGGTGTATAATATACACTGTATATTTTTAACATGTACATACTCAACCACACACACACACCCCCACACACACACACACTGAGACACACATGACACACCAAACCGCGAACTGACCAAAGCATAAATAAGAGTACTTAACATATGTATGTATGTTTGTATAATAGATACATGTGTAATTACCGTTAGTTCTAAACTTAAAAATCTTAGTTTCGAAATTTTCTCAAATGCAGCAGTCAAAGCAGCGCAAGCCATCACGAAAAGCACAAATCAGTAGTGGAAACAACAAAATAGATTTAAACTTGAAAACCAAATATAATTATGCAGAGAAAAAAACACAAGTAACAAAAAACTGTAGCAGTCCATGTACCGAAGACCTGTTCACTCGACCAATTTTGATCAAGTGAGTTGGTAGAAAAAATACCAACATCTGATATCTTTTGGTATTTTCACCGTTTCTCACCGAATCGTTATTTGTTGAGTGGGCTGGATCTTTGGATTTTTATTTTTTAGATATTTATGTATGTATGTAATTTATATATTCGATAAATCAGGCATATATGCATTTAGCAACCGAAAATCATAACTACTTATACATAACTACTTGTAATGAATAATTGCACAAGGATTGTGTGTGTGTGTGCTAGGCAAATGAATAAACCCAAGGAAACACAAAAATATACAAAAGTATATATAGTATGTACTTATGTAGGTAAAGGCATACAAAACGCTACAGATACGAGTATATATAGGACAATGTTTGATGTTGAAATGAGTTATTGGCCACATAGCTTGCAAGCATATTTATAGGCAACGCATACATACTAACATATTTACATACCATATGAATGCAACAAGGCAAATCATTTTATATATAAATATACACATAAACATACATATATACGACGGTAAACATTTATACATAATCATCACAGCACCGCATAGTATGAAAACATGCATATACATATATACATACATACGATCTATATATAATTACGATACATAATCACAAAACGAATTAGTGAACATTTGAACATACGAGTATGCGAACTGTTTCAAGCCCAGGAATACAAGCAAAGTGAACCGAAACGGAAAAGAAACGAACCGAACCGAACTGAATCGAAACGAATCAAAACTCTAAGAACCCGCATTGTGGGGATATAAAGCATTCTCAGACAGCATTTCGTTGGGTTCTCAATGTTTCGCTCCAATTTGGATTTGTTGCCTTTTCCGGTTGGGTCCTGCCTTGGAGTTTGTTTCATAATAAGTTCATTTTACACATGCATTCATAATAGCTGAACTTTCACCTTTATATTACATATATACTATATGTATACTCGCATCGAAGTCGCACATCAATTGCTGGGGCATTGCTGGAGCACAGCTTAGCGGTTTTTGTGCTCGTTCCTCTCCACCTCTCTAAACCTCAACTCAACTCATAAAACATTTTCGATAAAGGAAAACAAAAAATCTACTGATCATTATGCTCTTATTCGGAGTTTCGTTGTTTATAATAAAACTGTTTATAGCCGTTTTTTGAATTTTAAATAAATTATATTTACTATATGAAACAAAAACAGCAACAACAGAGATAACAGAAAAGTACATATGTATGTAATTATATGTTTTAAAGCTATTAAAAAAATGAATTCAAACCGAATAACTGTTGCTTAAGCGTCAATAGCGCTAAAACAGAATGTTGAAGAAGACGAAAGAAGAAAAGAATTAAATATATTATTAAATAAACTGCATATATATATACACACACATACTAAAGAATGCAACTGTATTGCAAATGAAAATATATAATTTTATTTCCGAGGAAAATGAATTTAAATGACACAAATAACAAAAGCAAGAGAAGAACAGGATGTAGACGATGGCGTGAGAAAGCCAGATAACCAACAACAAAGAACATCTGTAGCTAAATAATAATAATAATAATGAAATATAAAAACCAACTATATGAAATTTAAAACCAACTGAAAACGTGAAATACAAATGAGAAGAAATGGAAAAATTTATATAAGTTAAAGAATAAAAAGAAATGTTTGAAAACTATTAAATATTGACTAAAAGTTGTTTTATTCCATATAAGATGGTCCCACTTATAGAGCAAAATTTAAATATGTATATCCGCTTTAGGAGATAGTTTTCCGAATCAGTCTACAGTCATGAAAAGCTACCCATTAAATTTAACGACTTTAGCGTGATGTAATTGTTTTATTTAATTTATATTGAACTGCTTCAACATTATATTTTACTTGAAATACCAGTTCTGAAAATAATTACAGGGACAAGTAGTTATACTCCACCAAATCAGGAAATATTTTCCATTATCAAATTCAAATTCTAAGTCTGGGTGCAGTTCAGTTTCAGTTCAATGGCTTTCAAACGAACATAACTATATGGACTCAGCTGAAGAATACTATATACATATGTATATCAGTTTTAAGGGGCTTGTATTATAAAACGGAATATACTTATCGGTACACGGCTAATTCTGGTTTATGACGACTTGACTGTTTCACCTTAAATCATCTTTCCAATTCGATTTTAAATCATCTCTTCGGAACGTCTTGAATGCAACATGGCTGCAGCCATATTTATCATCTCCTGTCAAAAAAGTCGAAAATCAAGTAAACACTGCATTTAGCATCACACAACCCAAAACATATTAAACCAAATACGCAATACTATATTTGATATACAATGTATGAGCAACGTGTCGAAGAAATCGCCACTCTGCGTATATTGCTGCTGGGCGATCCAGGTACGCATTCAAAAATCGATTGTCGAGCATTTTCCAATTCTGGAATTCTTCTGTTGCGCAGGTGTTGGCAAAACAAGTCTCTCCAACTTGCTGGCATCCGAAATATCGGAATCAGCACAGCAAAGCACCGGCTCTGACTGGTGGACGGTTAAGGTGGGGTTGCATGAGTGTCCTTGTAATAAATATAAGCCACCTACACCCAAGTTTCCGACACCGCCATGGACATCTTCATCATCGAACTCCTCAAATATGTCAACATGCAATGACACTTGCGATAATTTATATTTTATAGAACTCTATGAGCTAACCAGTAATGCGCTGAGGTGTCCGGAGAAAAGGAGACTGCTTTATCGTAGCGTGGATGGTATTATACTGATTTATAACATGATGGATATGACATCGCACGATAATCTACATGATTGGCTAAATGAGCCGTTGCGTTACTCTAAAAAGCCTCGTCTGTGCGGCCATCGTAGGCGGGAGTTGTCCCGAAGCCGTGATCTCAGCCATGTGCCAATGCTGGTGGTGGGCACCAGAGTTGATTTACTCACGAGCCGTCGTCTACGACGTGCTGGCGGAATTGCCGACCAGTGCGAGGCGGAGGAACTATTCCTTAATTGTCTTGATGCCAGCAGCATGGCTCCAGATTCGCGCAATTTTGCGAAAGTACGTCGATTCTACAATAAGGTCATTGACTACAAGGCAACCCTCAAATCGCGATGCTACTGAAATAGAATACTTTATATATTTTATAATTACTTATATTATTATATCATTGTTATTTATTTTATTCATTAATCTTTACAAGATTCTAGTTTCATTGGGTAACAAATCCTGGTTGCTGGCGCCTTAGCCGGGTGGCCACTGCATTTGGCGACCGCCAAGGAAATGCAAATGCAAATGGTAGACAGACTGGGCGCCATGCTGGCCATTGTTAATGACCACGCGGTAACCCTTCTCGAGGCCTACTTCCTTGGCAACCTTACGTCCAACCAGCATCAAATGTCCCAATAGCTCGGCATCCCCATCCTCGGCCAGCGAGAGCTGCGCTATCGGTTTTTTTGGTATGACCAAAAAGTGAGTCGGAGCTTGTGGTGCCACATCGTTAAATGCAACACACTGCAATCAATTGCGCAATAATTGCAAAATTGTCATTACATATGTATGTATGTATGTATGTACATTAATGCGTGTATGTGTGAATGTTCGAGAACTTTGAACTTACCTTGTCATCTTCATAGATAAACTTGCATGGAATTTCCTTGCGTAGAATTTTGCCAAAGATAGTGTCTTCAGAGGGCGCTGCGTGCTGCGCCTTGTCTACTTCGCTCGCCATTTTAGCGTTCGTTGTAGCAAAGGTGCGATAACTGTGCAATGGAATTATAATAAATTAACAAGTAAATAATACAATCTTCATCCATGCACTTACAAAACGTTCCGTACAAGCGACCGGCCGGCTGTCACAATCATGGCCACCATGAACTAGTTCAAAAATCGATTTTTGTTCTCAGCTGCACCAGATAGCCTGCTATCGACTGTCGATAGTTAAAAGCTGTGCCTTTACCGCACATCTTATCATCACTAGTCACAATTGGTCATTTGAACAAATAGAAGGCAGCGGCGCCGAAGCTCCCAATACTCACGTAGTATTAATTCGCATTTGTCGGAAGAAAATAAATTCTGTTGAATACTGGTGATGTCAGAGCTGCGCTCCAAAGTTATTAATCTCTATAAGCACGTAAGTACGCACAATGCATTCTTGTGCATAAGACACGTGCAGTTGCACACAAGAAAATTGCGTAAACAAAATTGTAACTAATTCCAGTTGATCTACCTTGGCCGCGAGTATCCCGGCCTAAATGGGCCAGAGAAGTTCCGTAAACAAATACGTGAGGCATTCGTAAAGAACAAGGATGAAAGTGATCCAAAAAGAATTATGGCATTAGTGGCCCAAGGTCGCTACCTGGCCAAGGAAGTGGAGGCGCTGTACTCGCTAAAGAAGTACCGCAGCATGAAGCAACGCTATGAGTAGGCGCTGCTTGGGCGGAAGTGAATAACTCAAGGACTGTGGGTGGAGAGAATTGTTTATAGACAGAAATATGCCTTTGCTTTAATGTTTGCCAAAACATTTGCACACCCAAACATACACACACACACTAAAATACGCGTATATTTGTTATATTCGAATGTCTTTTCAAAATGTCTAACTTCAATTTACTGTTGATAAAAAACGACTTAGTGAATAAAAAAAAAGAAACAGTCATTAAATAACATGAAAGCAACATAACACATAAACGACTTCCGACCTTGAGCGCTTGCGCTTGAGTAATTGGTTGGGGCTTTGAGGCAGGTGGTGGAGTGGCAGGTGACCCCCGTATCATGTGCTGTTTTTTGTTGTTGATGCCAAAATATTGCCTCGATATAAATACATGAGTATTTTAATATATTTGCCCAAATTATAGACGCTGCCTCGGCTGCGTTTGACGGCGTCAAATTTGTTATTGACAATAAAATGCGTATTTAAATTTTTGTTGACCGTTGAGCGTCTGGCCGGTTCGTTCTTGTCAATGTGTATGTTATAAACAATTGTACTATACAGGTTTCTTGTTGCTGATGCAAGCCGACAAAGCTCTGTCGTAATTAAGCGCAAAGCATGAGCTTTTCAACACTCAAAAGCTCAGCAAACATTGCACTGTTGGATCTTTAACAGAATCGGAATCATAAAGCGTATGCACTATAAAATAGCTGCCGCCGAGTGATAATGAGTTCACAAAAGTCAAACGAACAAATCTTACAAATACTTATAATAATTTATTCATTCATACATAATGATACAAACTAAATTTTTTTACAATAAGATCAATGTTGTTTTTTTAATTATTACAAAGAGAAGGCAGGCGTCGAAAGTCCTGAATGTCTTGAGTTATTCGATGCACCTAGAAGTTCTGAATGATACAATAATTAGAAAATATCGTCGACAATTTTGGGGAAAACTTTCTCAACTTTACCTTTGGTTTATAATTAAATGGACACCAATAATACAAAATGGACGAAATCTTGAGACTCAAGATTCCATCGCTTCTATAATTACGGCCTAGACAACTCGCTCAGGCAGGCCACTTCTTCGATCTAATTCCAGTAATGTTTCGAGCGTCCCAAACTACAATTATGTCCGAATCACGGCCCAAGTCAAGCCACCACTGTCAAGAAATCCTTGCATACCCCTAGAAATTTGCTCAATGACGGGACCCAACGCCGCACTAACTTGGGAATACAGCTGTAGCCCATCAACATATCACAATTCTTTCCGGTCTGTCTAATAATTCTAGTCGAAGGGCGAGGCGAAGTCCGCTCTGTTCATATCTTCGTATTGACTCCAATTTGGTTGCACAGACGTGATTTTGAAACAGCGCAAGAGGACTCCAAAACCGAAACACCATGTTTGGGGCGACGATACAAAGTCAGGACTCGGATGAATTACCATGAAAAGGACCACTTGGGCACTCGGGGACTAACTACTCGTGCATTGTCCGCATGCCGGTTATAGAATTCACCAGTATCTGACAATATTGGCAAGTCCAGACCAGCTTAACTCGAAAAGGAAGATAAGGCGGTAATCGTTCCAATACAAAAGCTGCGGACAAATCCTTTCGCGTCCTTATTATTTTTCTATTTGTGTGATTCGAGGTCGCATATTATAACAACCTTTAGATAAGTGCACTGGACTCCGGATTGCTCTACACTCAGAACACTTATGCATATTTAATTGTCATCTCCTTGGTCAATAGAGTATGTTCAATAAATACAAGTAACATCAATACGTACGATTTCGAATCTTGAAAGACAATAGTTATTAAATTAGGTATTTTGCACAAATAAAAATAAATTACCGAACTGAAAAGTCCCTGAAGGCTGATAGACTTTCAATGTCGACTTGGTTGAAGAGCAAAAATTTTTCAAATTTGTTATTACAAAATGCCGAAATTTTACAGTACAATTTAGTTTGTTTTCCGATCCAGTGAAAACAATAACTGAATTTATTGTCTCACCACAAACGAATGCTTTTCCAAAGACAACTGTGTTACTATTTTACAAAAACAATTAATGATAATATATTAAAATTGATTAATTTTCAAAGACAACGTACCTTTTAAAAACCAACTACACTTAATAATGGTCAAATAAATTATAACTCGCAATTTTTCAAGGAATGTTGAAACCTGAATATTCTTCAACGAAATTCGATAAAAAATAATTGTAAGTGCAAAATTTTTTACAAAGTTGACTGTTTCGAATACAATTACATAAATTTCAGGAAAAAAGAATTTTGTTTTACCTCTGACGAGGTACAATAACTAACTGAATTTCTTTAGTCATAAGAGAGAACGCTTTTCCAAAGTGAACTTTGTTGTGTACTTAAAACTGTAACAACAATATGAGAAGATATGGAAAATGTGCGCAAAAAATCGCATTTATGTAGAAAAATAAAAAACGCACACAACCTATAAAACAAACAATAATTTATTTATTATTTTCGACACAAAATGGCATCAAACTTCCCAAACTTGCTTATTCCATTTTCAAGAAAAGTCTTCAACAAAATTACGGCATAACGAACTCAATTTTACGTCATTACCAACAAATATGTATATTCAGGTAGCTATTTGCGATGATACAAACCAAAATGGCATTATTTTCATATTTTCATTTTCTACAAACATATACTTGTATTTAACCATTTTTAATTATTAATTTATGATACCATGTCTTTTACTCAACGTTGGAAACCTTAGCATATATGCAGAAACCATCCAAGTACAACAGATCAGCTCACAAAAGTCGCATTATCATTCAAAAACGAAAACCGATTGATTCACAAGCACAAAATAATTGCATATAAAGCTTATCGAGGCATGCTTCCAAAGCAATCATATCAAGCTATTAATTGGGCATACCAGCTTATTAAATAGGAATATATAGATAAAAAATACATCCAAATACTCCAAACTCTTTCAAAATGGCACTAAATATATCCCATGCACCGTTTTTAGTAAACGACTTTCATAAAAATAACGCTACATTTCTTAAAGTTCCTTTGAAATCAAGCTATATCAGCAAGTAAATGGTATGACAATGCTTTGAAATGCATTGAAACATAATCTTTTGGACTCTTCTAAATAGATTAGTAAACAGTGCGTTCTTGAAGTTCTAGCAGTTGCACTCAAGTGTAATGTACTAGAAAAACGGCCAGCGGCTGATAATAAATAAGTTCACAAATGTCAAGCGAACACATTAAAAACGTTTCTTACACATATAACCATTTATACTATCAAAGATAATGATACAAACTAGGGCATACAAAAACTAAGACTAAGATCACAGTTTCCCAGTGTGGAAAGCATTTTCATAGAGTTTGCAATGATGACATGGAAATAGAAGTGCATTCACAGTTGGCCTTCTCGATTCAACCAAATTCAAAGCCTAAAACGTCATCGAGACCGTAATCGAACAGTCGAAAGTCCTCCTCGTATATCTCATATAGACGACGTATCGCGCCGATTGGTAATGGATCAAAATATTTGCGCAAATTGGCGCGCGTGCTGGAGGGTTTGTGACCCGTGGGAAATGTAAGGTTCTTGCCGCCTGCCAAGTATAGAGCTAAGGCAGAATCATCCAGTAGTGTTTCGTATTTGCCTGCGAATTGAACTTTTAATTAGCAACAAGCGATATAGCATCTATATATTAGTTTCCCACTCACCCACAACATTGTACTTCATGACGCAGGGATTGCAGAGATTGGCTATAACCTCCCAGTGCTCATTATAGGCCGACTGGTTGCTGCGACTTAGTTCCGGCGTAAGCAAATATTGTACAAATTCCCCGAACTGCACATCATCGCCCAGCTCCAACGACTCGTTCGTTGCGCCCGGACGCAATTCCCGCACTATCTGACGACCCACACGGGACTGAAAGTACCGCGCACTGGGCGAATCCCCCTCTAGTTTGTTCCGATATGCTGAGAGCAGACGCTCGAAAGGATGTCGCACCAATATGAACCGCGTATAGTCCTCACCCAGCACCTGAGCACGTTCCTCATCGGTCAGATCGTACAATTTTGTAAACAATCCCACCGAATGTGCCAGCGACCCTGGAATTTGTAGGGGATCTGTGCCATTCTGCCATTTTCCGGTGAGCAGCATAAGCACACGTTTCCAGTTGGTGCAAGCAACCTGCAAGAATTCAAAGGGTGACCAGTAAGTTATAGATTTAGATGATATGATATACATAAATCTGTTTGTCGATATATTCTGATTCATTAAAAGTTGTAAAACATTTTGTTAATGAGCGAAGTTTATGGAGAAACGTTATTTTGAAAGGATCAAAAATTTGCTTCGCTGCGAATTTCTGACTAGTTCCGAGTGATTATATAAGTAATTAGGCGTTTTACTTAAGGTTGTCTGGCTTTATGAGCTTTAAAATTATGTTGCCCCTTAAAATGCTGTAATAGACATGAAAAAAGATAATGAATAGATATATTTAGACGCAATCTAGAATCCGCAATAAACACGGAGTTACTACAAACTGTTATCTGTTCAGTCTACAAATCTAAATAAAAAACCTAATATTTTTTTGCATTATGTGTTAAAACTTGTAGAACTTATAGATCTTAGAATGCTTTTACAAAATTGAATCTACATACATATGTACATGTAAATAAGTTGACGAAAAGGAATAGTTAAGTTTGTTTTATGTACATATATTCTCTAGATATGTACTTTGCTTCCTAAAAGCAATTAAACCACAGGGGTGCAAAGATCCGCCCTTCCCCGTAATTAAATTTAAATCTGCTATCCACTGGATTTCAATTAGAAGTCGATACTGTGTGTTCCGAAGGTTTGTCGTTCGACAATGGCAATCTAATAGACTTGCGAGAATACCACCTCATTTGTTTTCCAATTCAATAATACTAATGTGAAATTATTTTGAGAAAAAAGCAATAGCAAAAGCAATTTCTATAAGGAAAGGGAAACCTTATAGAAACATTTTTCGCATGTTGTTGTTATTGGCATACACTTGTACAAAAATGTTGTTGCTTGGGCCAAGCATTGCCCACTGACTCACATCGGGTAAACAAACATATAGCTTTTTAGCGAACTTTGCCCCAAATGGTTTGATTTTGTGATAAGCAAAGCATATTCGGCAACCCATTCGTCAGGTTTTAGTCTTTCATGACAAATTTTCATACGTTTCAAACACCTGACCATTGTCTGGGCCTCATTTTTCAAACAGATATCTAATTTAAGTACCACACTTTAAATAGCTCGACATACCAAGGTTTCCAATTATGAATATGAGAGGCAAATATTCGCAGTGAAATGGAATCAGTTTTCTTTCATTTCAGCTCAATGTTTATGCAACACACGATTATTGATCGTAACAAGAAAAGTCTCTAACCGGAATGCAATCTTTTCAAATTGTTGAGCCACTTTTGTAATTGCAAATGGCCATAAATTATAATTTTCTCTAAATGAATAGCTTGTTTAATTGTTTAAATACATTCTCTAAGCTACGTTGAGCGGAACGGAACGCAACGCAACGCAACGCCTCGAATCGCACAACCGACACTTGAAATGGAATAATAAGTCAAGTTAAGCAATTGCAGCCTTTCTACTTACATATGTACACACATACATATAGCACACATAAATACATACATACTTACAAGTACAACTAGTACTATATGCATGTGCTATTATGTATGTATGTATGTGTGTGTTCGTACATTGTTTAAACATTTAGCTTGGCCAGTGTTTAAGTAGACAGGCCGACAATGTCGAAAGTAATTAAAAGCAGCTAAAACAATTCAAATTACAAAAACAAACAGTTGTTTATACAACAACAAATGCTAAATACTTGTACAACAAAATGTGCCAAAAGTCTGCGGTTTTATCTAGAACAGTGGAATAGCTTGTTAGATGAAGGGGGATGGATTCACACCCTTTTCTGGCTACAAAATAAATACTTAGGGGGACTCCCACTTAAAATGATAAATAAACCTAAAGAGCTTTTAATCAGCCTAAAAATTCTTGTCCGTTTAACCCTCAACAAAAAGATTTAGGTAGAGTTATTTATTATATATAAAAAAAAACATATTGAAAGAAGAAGAAATCGGAAAGAAAGAGGCTTACAAATACTACTGGGTATTTAGCTTTTTTTCAGTCTTAATTGGAAAAGATTTTAGCATCATTATAGTTCGCAAGAAATAAAGTTTCTCAATAATTCCTGCAATTAAATTCTAGACGGGAATTTCGGAGGAAGTCGAATAGAGCATTTATTTATATATTTCTTATCTGTAAGCTATTAAGGTATGTATTTAAACATTCTGATATTTTATGCCATAAATCATGCCACATTTTCTGATGAGCAAGATATGTATTTTAAAATCTGAATCTACTGTTCTTTTATGCTATAAATCAACCCAAATTTTTATTATTGCAAGAAATTCGGAAAATATGCACATTATACTTGAAGGAGAAAGCTAACTTAAATAAGACTTGGTATATTGTTTGATGTTTTTATATTGTTCAGAACAGAGAGACTATTCGCTTCTCTTATTTGATAAGCTTGAACCTGTCTTGACACGCTCAATAGCAATTTGAAATTGAACTTATGATTTTTTATTTGAGCTACACATAAATACTGCACAACTACTTATGCTACTATTTGCATAACTATTTCTAGGACCGGCCCACAATTTCAGCCCACTGTGCGGCTCGGCACTTACTAAATCATGCCAAAGGTTCAAAGTAGCAACAATGTGCATATTTTAAAAATGTTTTCAATACGTAAGCGATCATAAAAACCAACTTACTGGCAACAGCCACAACTCAACAACGGCAGCAATAAAAGTCACATTAAGTACTTCAGGTAGTTGCTATATAAAAATAACTTGAGTGGGGGGAAGGCAGGGGGGTACCAAGAGAAGAAATTAATGAGCAAACAGCAAACTTTTAACGACTTCAAGGAACACACGAGATGTTTGCGATGTTGCCGAACATGTGAGGTCAGCGAAATAGAGCGAAGCTCTAACGCTTCTCAGTGTTTGTCTGAGAAAGTCACGCTTTAATTTTAAAATGGGGCTCGCGCCTCCCTGCTGTACAACCGAGCAACAGCAATAGCCGACATTGATAGGCCGCGATAAGAATTGATAAAGAAAACGTGTTGAATAAATGAGCTGTTCGACGTTATAGTCGGCTTTAGTTTTCAGAAGCCTATGGATCAGAATGCAACAGAATTTTTGTATTGCCAAAATATGTTGGTTGCCGATAAAGATAGTTCGAAACGGCTGTGCGTGCTTTAGATTTACATTCCATTTAGTGAATGAAGCCTATACTATATAAGCCATACGTCATTCTACTTAGCTAGAACTCTTTCATTCATTCATTCGAAGAATTACAATCTGATAATTATGTTGGTCTAAAGTTCCCTTATGAGGCATTCAACTATTTTTATGCCGACAAACGCAGCTGCTCCCACTTCCACCACACACATATACATATACTTGTCGTATCTTATCGGGAACAGTTCGTCTAATACTTTTCAATGAGTTCTTTTCCTTTATAGCACTAATCGAAGAACATGGGAAATGTTGACAATTCAAGTGGCGGCTCTAGCTAATTAAATTTGCCGAAATTAGTGTCTTATCTAAATGCAAATGACTATATTTCCCATTTAATTAATTTCCATTAATAATAAAACTGATAGACATCTCATCAAAGTCAAAAGGCATTGAAAGTTCCTCTAATCGTAAAACATTAACTAAATAGCATGACGCAGCTTGAAATCGTAACAAAGAATTAAGTTGTTTAGCAAACATACACACATACATATTTACATAGCAACTAACTAATCGATATAAAACTTGCTAACGACCTATAATCATTGGTCAATTAAGGGCACTAAATAACGATCGTAAAGTGTATTTTGCATTCAGATGAAAATATGCCAGGCAAATATTTACAGGCATTTCCCAGCTAAGCTTTCTATAGTGTGTTTTATGTAATAGAATACACCGATATTTATACTCGCATGATAGATAAGGAATTTCAGTTCATAGGGAACTGGCACGGCACAAGTTTTTCCAAGCTTAAGTGTCCATTTACAACAATTTTGATAAGTGATACTCGATGTCTTCAATGGTTTACACAAGCATTTATATTGGGACTCTTGAAGACTAAGCCATCCGGGTTGCTATCATTTCATAATATTAGATAGAAGAGGATTACGGTGATTTAATGCAATTTTATAAATACAAGATTAGATTGATCGATCTGATCGAACTGCTCACTAAACTACTCCCGAGACTACTGATTTATAGTTTCCTTTCCTTATATACTTGTATACCTTAATCAATCCGAAGACCTCTTAAAAGTGATAATCAATATTAGTATTGAAGTTAGTTAGGATTACAGTCAATCCTAGTTTTATCGGAATACTGAAAATTGTATTCAGAAATGTAATCGATTTATTTGTTGGTCATAATTTTTAAAAACTTCTGTTTTGTTGTTCGTTAGTCATAGCTTTCTTAGAACTATTTACAAACCCCTATAAATCCATTCTTCCTTTAGATTTTCAATTCAAGAGAATTGATATGTTATTTAAATATTATTTCTTGCAAGGTATTCATGGTATTCAAGAGACCCACATTATTGTGTATTATTTAGAAACCACTTTCAATTCTGACTTCAAGAGAATTTATATGTAATTTAAATATTATTTCTTGCAATTCATGGCATTATTGTGTACCGTATATTTGTTTATGACTAATGACATCATTCCCAATAGTTCGTTTTGTGTTTTCAATTTCTTAACAATTATTCATTTGCAATGCTAACGGAAATACGAACGCACTGTATAGAAACGCATTCAAGTGGTTGTTATACGGGTTTGGAAATCATTCTCTATACCACGTTTACATAGTAAGTCGTATATTCCCAAATAACATATATTGGTTTTATTGTGTTTTTTTTTTTTTTTTGAACTGAAATTTATACATTTATTATATTCCATTTTCTATATAAGAATTTTCTACTGCGCAGTTATTATCAACATCTCAATAAATCAATTTTAAAACTATTTGGTGTTCATTGTGGCTGTTGCCTTTGTTCATTCAATAGCCCCAGTGAAAGGAGTTCAAGTGTTCAGAGAGGCAGATCAGATGGGATCACAAAACAAGTTGCTAGAATAACAAAAGCTGTGGCACGGCCCGATCAAACGCCAGCGTTTCGAAAGAGAAAATAGAAGAGGAACGAGTTTGTGTAAACAAGCCACAAGAATTGACAGACTGGGTCGGTCTGTTGCTCGTACTGAGTTTTTGGGCAGACTCCCCAAGAGTTAGGGCGTTGAAGGGGGCGGTCGCGGCCGCGGTCGCTTTGATGGACATATGTCTGACAAGGCAATCAAATTGGCTGTGAAAAATACAACTTGAGCGCACATGTCTCTACACATAAATATGAACAATGTGGTATGTATCTGCATACATGGTGGTCATACTATATAAGCAAATGGACGAACAGTGCAAAGAAAGCAAAAAAATTGTCGTATTAAAAAGCAATTGGGCAGTCTTTGAGCTGACGCTGCAGAAAGTCGTATGGTTTAGTGAACCGGGCGATCAGCAGGAACTCACTCACCTTGGGCACATAGCAATAAAGCAGCTTGTGCTCCCGATCCACAATCATGTGATCCATTTGGAGCTCAGTTAGATCGTCTAGCGTTTGGGTGTTGTTTTCCAAGAGCTCACATTGTCGCTGCATATACTCCTGGCGCTGCATATTGATTGTCTGTGTGAGTTCCAGACTTTGTTTGGTTATTTTGACATTGTTGTTGTTGCCATCCTCAAAGGTGGCGCCGACGAGGGGACGAAATACAGTTAACAAGAGCCACAGTGAAATGTAAACCAGTTGATTATTGTGGGTCATGTTATGCGCTGTTTAAAGCAAGCCTTACAAATGCAGCGTGCTTGAAATATATAGTTATTGTTGTTGTTGCTGCTACCAATACTATTGAGTTGGACCATTTGGTAGTACTGGTATGCAATGCCGCTTATTTCTTACGCTTCCGCCCAAAATATTTAACACGATGTACGAACTTAAGCGTGGCTCCGTTCTCGATGCCCAAATCAGTTAAAGTTGCGCGCCCGTTTTCATCATTGATCGGCTGATTTGTATCCACGTTGAAGAGCGTAAATGCCCTCCATAGAAAACGCCAAGAAACGTGCGCGCGATGCTCGTGTCCGTTGCGCAGCGATGAGCAAACTAACTCGCCCGTCGATCGTGGTGGCATGGAGTCAACCTGTTGTGGTACACAACTCTTGAGCTCGTCGATAGCTTGCTTCGTCTTCGTTATTCCACGACGTCTGAGTCTTTCTTCGTGTCGATCGCGTTGTGTTCGTGTGTGTTGAGCGTGTGAGATCTCCCCGATCGCGTGCTTCAAATTGGCAATAGTGGGCTGTTCTTGATGGAGCTGAGGAATGGGAGAAAATTAGAAAACGTGTTGAATGGAGCTTCAGCAATTTGTGTATGATAAATGGGATTTAAGAACTATTTCTGCTAAATGTAAAGATTTGCAGGTCGGCTACCCAATAAACCAATTAGTGAATGAATATTTAATTTCCGGCTAGGGACCTGATAAAATTTGTCACAATAATTGCAGCCAGCCAATCTAATCTATTAAGGCATAAATATTGAATAATATAGAAAGAATACCTTGTTTACAATTTCATAATAATATTTGAATATTCTTTTATATTTATACATTTTATAAATTTAACTTACAACCTTAGCCAAGTAATTCAAAGTCTTATTAAAAATATGTAGCAGAATCGCCTGATTTAGCTATGGGACCATTCGATTATCTATTGAACCAAGTAGATCAGGCATTGCCAGCAGCACTTCGCCCACTTTGGCATTCACCGGTGGGTAAGTAACACTCACATATAAGGCTATCAAGCATACAAGCTATGTACATTTTCAGGCCCGCGTACGATATTCTTCTGGGCGCCAACAATAAAATGGGTATGTTCTTTAGACATTGCAGTATCAAAGACAACAAAACTAATTATTAGTATCTATTAAATAGGCTGTGGTATTGGCAGGAATTGCTGACATGTACCATCGGCCTCCGGAGAGCGTAGCCAGGGAACAGTGTGCTATGTTAGCCATTACCGGCCTGCTTTGGTCCCGCTGGGCCGTGCAGATCAAGCCTAGAAATTACAACTATCTAGCTGTTAATCTGACACTCTTTCTCTCGCAAGCCATTCAACTCTATCGCAGTACCTTGGTAAAGGACAACAGCGTCCAGACGACAGAGGTCAATTACGAAAGACCATGGTTGCTTTACTGGATTTAAGAGGCCAGTGAAACTTCTATAAATTCTAATACCTACATACATAAGTGTAGACAAACTTTTGGCACTCGTTTAACATTAAATGGCGTCATTGGTTCTGTTTGCATAACGGTCAGCATAAACAAACAAAAATTTCACCGCTGTCGGCTAGTAATTTTGATAGATAGCCCCTCCATCGGACTGATACAACAAAGTGATTGATGAATCGAAATGTATACACAAGTGCAGGCAGCTGCACATCAATTGGCATTACAAACCACAATGGTGAGTGTGCTGAGACCGTCCCGCTCCACATAAATCGTTGTTGCTCGACCCTCGGCGATTGCGATCTAAAATGACGAAATATACAAACCTGTTATTGAGAACATAACGGTAACAGCTTCGTTGCATACATAATATCAATAGCCTAGCAATTCATATAAATCAATTAGCAGCTGCTCCAGAGTAGGTCACATATTTAGCTTTGCTACGATTATGACGAAGGCAGAGCCATCCGCGCAACATGCTAATTGATTGCTGAATTTGCGCAAATTAATCTGAAGTGGCTAATGGTGGTTGCTACTGCCTGTCATGGCCACTTACCTCGCCCAATAGTTCTGTTGTCGTAACGTCGTACGGAATATCCGAGAGGAGATCCGCGCACTCTGGCTGCTTCAAGATTTGCTTCATTTCCTCGGCCGTTGCTGCCAACATTGCATTATGCTCGCAGCGCTCAAAATCTTCGTCTTTTTTGTTTGTTTTCCGTCTTCCATGACGTCGTCGTTTACCGACTATAGGCTCATTTCGATTGCGCGCCTCTCTGATCGCCTTTTTGCGCAGATTCACCGGCATATATTTCAGTTTGCGGTACGTCAAGGTTTCAGGTTGTTGGTGGCGATGCCAACGTTCTCCTCGATGTCTGTCCATAATTGATTTAGTATCAATTGAGCAATTTAGAATAATTTCGAATAAACAAACAATGTACTCAACAAAGAGCCAGAAAAGCCGGACGCGGATTCGCGGCACAGCTGTTTTAACTGATTCGTGAACAAACTGGTTCCTGCGAACGGAAAGCGGTTCAAAAACCAGTTCGATTACTTCTCGATGCTAGTTCCCCGAAAATATCGGAGCTGGTTCATGTTTGCTTATATTTGCAGAACGCGGTTTTATTTCAAATTTTTTAATTCATCAATTGAGCTATATTATAAGTAAATGCGTTGTTGACATAAGAGTATTAAGAGAAAATAATGGTTTAATCATTGTAATATCAATTCAAAGTTCTCAACAACTGGTAAAAATTCTGCAACGCCACCGATATCAATGCTTTCAACAACAAAACAGTGGAAAATGATTTGTCCCTATATCCAAATACATATTCGGGTAGATATGGGCAGACCACGTTAAATCTGAAAATGAAATTTACAGATTGAGAACCCAGCATCCTACTACTCACTCAATCACAAGGGCTAACAACACACATTTTAAAATATTACACAACACAAAACCTGTTTTGGGAACACAACAAAATTAACAGTCAATAGATTTTAACAAATTCGTCCTTCCATTAACCAAACATGTCCAAGGGTACGGGACCACTGTCGACTTTGTATAATTCCATTATTAATAACGTTGGAAAGGTGGTTCCAGCGCCACTGACACCATTATGGGAATCACCAGCAGGTCCAAAAACTGTCTTTTTTTGGGCACCTTTGTTCAAATGGGTAAGCCTCGTTTAGCAGGAGTCGTACGATGTTATGTCATTATACTTGGCTGGTTTACAGGGCCTTGTGGCGGCTGGATTTAGTGATGTTTTGAATCGACCGCCACAGAACATTTCGTTGAATCAGTGTGCGGTTATAGCCACCACTGGCCTGCTATGGTCCCGTTACTCTGTGGTCATTGTGCCCAAGAACTATAGCCTTTTATCAGTCAACGTTGTGGTATTTCTAACCCAAGGATTTTTGGTATACAAGGCATTGAAATGGCGCCGAGAAAATGCATCGAAGGCGGAGTACAAACATCCATATTTTCCGTCACCCATGGAAGACGAATGGTAGAACATTATATATAATATTTACAGTTAAAATCAAGTAAAAAATATAGCAGAACTGTTAATAAATCGCTTGAAACGGAATGTTTTTTTTTGGCGTGCCGCTCTGAAGCTTTACGAAATTTTATTTGTTTTTTCTTACGCATTTTTTTGCAATTCTCTTCATCGCATACACATCATCAAACGCTTAATTAAACTTCCTCTAATATATGATTATTACTTAGCCACGCCCACAGCTGTTGTTTGTGGGCGTGTGCGCTTCAAACGTGACTCGTTTCTATGGGCATGTGTCTAACTTTAAGTACATATGTATATTATTGAATTAAAAACTATAAGAACGCTATGTAAATAGAGATACATTGTATATACAAAATTTGCTGCTTAACAATGCAAGTGTTGTTTTAACGCCGTTTGAGCCACAGCCAAAACACATTTCGCCTCAGAGGATGTTGCCAAAATTGCAGGTCCTCCTTCGACACTTTGGTATCCTTGCCACTGACGTAGGGAGCGAATAGTGCGCACAAGTCGCGAGTCGTATCCTGATTGGTTCGTCTCTTCGCGTGCTTTCTGCAGCCAATGCGCACTTTGCACAAAAAAAGGACGCGTCGTTATAGCCAACTTGCCAAACAAGGCCACGCAGTGCAGTTGGCAAACTATGGCATACAGCTAGGCGCACACACACAAACACACAAACAGTCGCACACAAACACAGCCTGCTGCGCCAACAGGCGTATGCGTCGTGATTTATTGTCACATTTCATGCGCATGTTGCCGCAACAAAATTCCATCTACACACTATATACTCGTACAAGTGCATATATACATATGTATGTGGATGTGTTTGTGCGAGTGTGTGTGTGCTGTTGTTGTTGTTGTTGTTGTTGCCAAGTGCACTGCATTGCCTTTGACTGGTCTGGCTTGAATGCCGCTCAGCTGCCATTGGTTGGTCAGGCCATGTGTAGCTTTCACGGTCTCTGCGCAATTGGCACAACAAGGCTTCCTTTTATCCTTCTGCTCCTTCTGTCTGCATTGTACATAGGCTGCAAAGAGAAGAATAGTCGAGAGTGAGAAAGAGCTACTGAGTATTAGTTTTTTAGTTTTGTAGTTTGCAACATTGCCAAAAGTTTTCATTGCAGCTAAAACTAATCTAATGAATGCCAATTTTTTTAACGTTCCATTTTGGCTGACTAACTTATATAATAGACTAAGGAATATTTACAAAGATAATATTATTTAATGAGACATCAAATCAAGCTGCATTAACTTCGATCAGATACTTACGAATAATACTACTTATACTATATTATAGTATATTCTTCCATGAAGCTAAACACCTTAAGCATTGAATAAATTTATGACGCGATATATCTAGACGCATCTGGATATTTTGTATATGGGAATTCGGGATTACTTTTAGCACAATTTCAATTTTATTATCATTTTATTTCAACATACAATTCTAAGTGTTCTTATGTATGTATTATTTTTATTAAGCCACACTACTCCACACTTCTTCATTTCTGAATATTCTGTTGAGCTATAAATTGTGATATTTAAACAAATTCAGAACTCTACACAACTGTTTGTTATATTTATTTAAAATTCTTATATTGTCTTTTTCGTTTAATAATACCTCTGCCCATATACCTGTTGTCGTTTTATATTTATTTATACACACGTACAAACTGATGATGCTGACGATGATTTCTTTCCCTTATTTTTTTACATTTATCTATAACATTTGCGAATTTACTTTTACTTACCGATTTACTTAAGTATTCGAGGAATCCTATAATGAACAATAATTAGAATAGAATACAAGAGTACTCCTTATTTTGTCCACCGATTTGCTATGATTTTTCATTTATTGGTCTCAGACGTAACTATGCTATTGTTTAATATATTTATAGTCTACAATAATTTCATAAGGAGAAAATACAATGGATTTCTTCTTTATTTCTATTAAAGAAATTCTTGGTGGTCATAAAGAAATTTCATGAACGTGTATTTATTATTTTATACCTATGTATATAGGTATGTTTTTATCATTTTTACAAATAAGATCAGTGCATTTCTTTCATTTAAGTTTTTCAAGTTGAAAACAAAAAATAAATCATGGCTCTTGAGGAATACTGTATATAGTTTTTCTTCGTATATATCTCGAAGAGACTCCTATATAAAAGCTGGCATACATTTTAATATTTATTCAATGTCCATTCTAAGCATTACTAAATCTTTCTGGAAACTATCAAGAGAAAGAAGGGTTTATTAGGCTTGTTAAGGAGGCATCTCTGACTTCAAAACGAAGTTTTTAGTTTTGGATCGACAACAACATACTCTATTATTTAAAACAAAAATGGGTGCCATATCGCCAACTACAATAGTTTTCCAAACGATTTCGAAATAATTCAAAAAACTTAAGGATATTTAAAAAGGTATAATAAGCCAAAAAAAAAAAACAAATTATACAAATAAATCGATTTACGAGCAATTGGTCTTTTTTGTGAAAGGAAAACATCTTTCAGGCAGAAATATTTGAAGTCTTATGACAACAACAGGAGCAACAACAATACAAAGGCACTTTTCTCGAAAATAGAATTCGTTTCAGAAAAATGCCTAAAAACTTGTGTAACAGTTGTGAAAAAAAAAAATTGAACAATGTCAAGCTATTTTCTTTTAACAGCAACAATTCCTACATGTAATACCTTGTAATAAGAATATGTATAAAATATTATGTAATAAGAATATATGTGTATAGCCTGTAATTATACTAGTTGGTAGTATTCACTGTACAACTAGGCATAGTACGTCATTAATCAGAACGTTCGGTTATCATTGCCAAGTTTTGTGCCTCGGTCGGCTAATGTTGCCAAATGTCGCCAAATGGTTGCCAAAAATGAAAGAGTTGAGGAAAATGCGTAATTTTCTCACGCTCGCTTCCAAAATGAAAAGAAAAAAGAATTCAGGCAATGAACTTTTAGATTGTTGTTGCGTAATGTGCGCCAATTTCTTGGCAGCTGATGTGGCAGGATGCTGGCATTTGTAATTAAAACGCTCTCCCCCATCGGAGGCAACACCTGCACGAACGTAAACACACAAATGTGCGCTGAGCTTGCAAAAGTAATTTATGATCATGGAGTTTTGCCAATAAGTTTTCTGGACTCTTTCCCAACTTGGCGCACGCCGCCAGCAGCTGAAAGACTCAGACCCAGACATGTTGTCTGCCTGGCCGTGCCCCGCCAGCTTGCCTCCTGCCCGCTGCCCCCTGCCTCTTGCTTGTTGTTTCTTGTTTGTTGTTAAAAGTCAATGGGGCGAGCACCGATCATGCCCTCTCGCTTGCACTATCATTTTCCACACATACTTGTACACTTCATGCCTTAATGACTTCGCAGTTATGTGTTGACGGAGGTCAGGGCGTCGTGACGTCACGAACCAAACTGTGTTATTGAACAGCTGCCAATTGTACAGCACGAGATATTTTCATTCCAGACAATTTGCCTGCCAAAGCACCCCCAGCCCCAGCCCCAGCCCCGCTCCCGCCCTCCCGCACAATGTGGCGTACACGTGTTAATTATGTGTGCAAGGGCTCTGATTTATTGGCCCAGAAGTACTAGAGTGCAGCAATTGGTCTTAATTGTCTTTAACTAGTGCTTGACCATATGCTCGGCATATTGAAATTATAGATTTATGACCCTCAATGCACACTTCTCGGTTGTGGAATAACTTCTTCAGCTCTTTGGAGAAACAGCAATAATGGCATGAAATATGAAATTGGTTTCCTGGAGGTTGGCCTTTAAGAGCATGGTTTCAATTTAAATTAGAGAAATGGGATTTGGGATTGTAACCTAATTGGTTATTATTTATTTTTTAAAACGGAATTACATTAGAAGCATTGCTCTCAGGACTAGTAAAATGAAAAGGTTTTGAAACAACACATATAAAATGATAATAAAATAAATACACCTTATTCTGTTTTTACACGATTTTTACATGGTTTTGATTTAACACGGTTTGGAAATTTAAAATGTTTTGTATGGTTACACGGCTTTATTCCATTTAGCACTATTCGTTTTGCATTTGATCAATGTCTTTTTTTACACGTTTTTTTTATATGAATTTTTCTGGAATCAATCTACCGTGTAAAATCCGAACTAGGTCTAATTATAAAATTGTTATTAATTGTGGTCGGAACTTTTAATGCTATTAGATAGATGGACGGACTGGCAATTAAATTTTCCCACACCGGTTTGGAGATTTTTCTCTTAATTTTTCTCCTTCTGCCGTACTTCATCTAGATAACTCTAAAGTAGAATTAAGATTTCTCCTCAACTATCATTTTTTTTTATTGTTTAGGTTTATAATGTCTCTGGCAACATTTGGCTGTGAATCGGGGCAAATGGAAAATAAAACTCTCCCAACGTATCGGAGGCATTAATAGACTTTATTGCACACTTATTCTTGAGAGGCTTTCTACTTTATAAAGTTTAAATTATAACTTAATATTAGTAAACTGTAGCGACAGCACTATTTGTCGTTCTATAAAATAAATAAAGACATACATGTCATTATCTTAAGTTACATAAATCAGCAACTATTTAAGAAAATTATGACACATACTAACAAACTTGAAAGATTTTTGTAATGTAATTTGTTTAATTTAATTCCTTTGTTTTAAAGTTAATCAGTGCAAAGATTATGTCAAGCAGATACCCAGCTATATGTATTTTAGCACCTTTTTGCGAGTTTTAGGAACTGTCTTCTTTTTATATACAAAACTTAGACCTATGTGTATTAGAGCCGACATTTTCAATTTGTCGGCACTATGTTAAATAATCTGCTAAAAATAGTTCAGCATCTCTTGTCAAAATGTGACATGACAATTTTGACACTGCCCAAGATAATTATGCAATAGCCTAAAGTACACCAAGTACTTACTATATTTTTGTTAGATACTCAAATATACAGTTACTTATGTATTGCAACAAAAGCAAATGTTTGCTTATTTAAAAAAAAATATTGTCACCGAAAAGTCATTTTTAAAGAGCACATTTATCTTTTGATGGATTAAGGCAAGTTAGCAAACATAATTATAATGTTATTTGGCCGTTTCAGCAGACAAATAAATCTAATCCTATACTATATACATATTACGTATATATGTGTTTTAGCCACAAAAATCAAATTATATGATTCTTTTTCGCATTCCAAATAATAAAAACCATGAAAAATGAATCAGCAAGCGAAGGTTCTCTGCATTAAAACAGTAAAGCATCCGTTTGATTATAAGAATGACATTAAAATTGTTTATTAATAAATATTCAGAAAGGTCTAAAGTTAAATAAACTTGAGTCAGGTTAAAATTGCAAACAGTTTGCACACAAATTTTTGTTTATTTTTTAGCATACATAAAATGATTTAGTGTAGAGCTCGTATTTGTTTTTTTTTTTTAAGAAAAACTATATTCATGAAATTCCCTTGCAATTCGACTGGTTTGTGTTCTAAATAAAATATATATTAAAATTGAAATGAATCAAAGTTCCACAAAAAAATTGTATTTTTTGAAATTATCTGTTTTATTTAAAAACCCGGTTATTGTTTAATATTTCTAAAACAATTAAAACAATTTTATTTTATGAAAAATGCGTAAAAATACATACTTGTAGAAGAAAAATATTAAAGCAAATTAATAAGGTCTCACATTTTATTTTATCTTTATTATATTTTATGTATTATTTAAATATTTAAATTTGTTTGCTTTTTTTCTTCACCTTTTCTTTTTTCTTAGGTCTAATAACGTCATAGCTGGCCGTTTGGCAAATAAAATTCATCCACCGAGTCTGATTCGTTAGTAGAAATTTTTGTTATTTCTATAGGCTTTGTTTTTTTTTAGTTTTATTTAGTATAAGTTCTGTATTATTTTGATTTTTTTTTTCGGCAGCTCTATTTGTCGATAAAATAAATAAATAAATAAACAAAGCTTTAAGCTTAAACATGCTTTCTAATTCGAATTAAAGCAGCATATTTATTCAAGAATTTTGGG